CTACTGTGAATGTACCATGGTTGCTTGTAGAAACAAAAAGGAAACCACTAGAACCAGCTACCTGTTTGAGTGAACCACTTCTGTCGCCACGCAGGTAGGGCTCCTCGGTCCCATTCCAAAAAAAATACAAAGCCGGCAAAGTAAACGTCAAACGGGTCAGACCCGTCAGACCCCCCCTTTGCGTTGCGAACTCAGTCCTCGATGCTGGACGCAGCCAAGTGCAGCACGCCCAAGGCCGGGCCCAGAACAATCCTGCGAGAACCCTTCGCGCCGGGCACAAATGAAGCTGGGCTTGGCAAGGCTTAACGTTTTTGCATGTGCTTCACTCGGCTTTGCTGTCTGTCCGTTTTCTGACCTCCGGCTAAAAGTCAAGAACTTGTGGCTTGCATTTGCTTAAGCCCCCTGGAAAAAGAAAAAACACATAATCCCAGTAGTGATAGATTCCCTTTAAAGCCACCAGGGGAGTATATAAACGTGAATAACTTGTGGGTTACATTCGGAAACCCGTTACAAAACCAATTGAAAACCACAAGCCTACGGAACCGGACGATTCGCTGGGAAGCCCCGCAGCATACCAGAGAATGTGCAGCTGCGCAAGAGCACATTGCAATGAAACCCCTCTATCCGCGCTATTTGATGCATTTAATATCATTTCATCTGGAAAGGCTTTTTACGTTTCTGCTTGCGGAGGCCAACTTGGGCCAATGCTCAGTAAACGTTGGGATATGTGCCTCTGCTTTGCTTGTCGAAAGGTGGATCTCCAACAACGTTACTGCGAAGTGGTCGGAATATGGCCAACATTGCTTGATAGTCATGCAGCTCGGCACAGACCTACATACTCAATGGGCGTTTGACATCCAAATCCATTGATTCGCGACACCCACCTCACCAAACGGAAGCCTGTGTTGCGACAATGGTACAAACATCGGAGTAGCATAAGCAACACCACCAAAGCATTCCTTGTAGAGCAAACTTCGTCTTCCTGCCCGCCCCACCTCCCCGCCCCCGTCAGGTCGAGTTTTTTGGGTGGGAGGGTATCTGAAGTAATGTATCGTGGGTCTGAAGTGATAGAGAGATTGCCAAAGGGTACCACGAGCTCTTGTAGTTGTTTGGTTCCTACCGTCCCATTGATCCATCCAAAACACTCGCATGCGCCCACGACGGTCAAATAAAAACGGCTTGGTTGAACATCGCCTTGTCAAACCTATGCAGGGGGGTTGCCTATGTTGAGACAGGCAAGCATATGTTTCATATCATTTAAACCAAGCATGGCACTTTGAGAGGCTCAGAACCGCCCTAGCAAAAACATGTTTATTATGCCATGTCCTGGTGAAGTAAACCCAGGTGTTTGCATGTTCAACAACTTCCCCCACTCTTTTCGGCTGGGTTCAACCTCCTGGCCGTACTTTTGTCCGCTTGACTTCGCCCAGTACTCCAACAAGGTCTAGAAGATGTCTCGGGCCCACCATTTGTCCGTCGCTCCAAAGTTCTCAACTGCGCGCCTGAACAAGCAAAGGCAAAAGACCACTGAGGCCCGAAAGACGCCCCAGTCGTGGTAGGCGATCTGCGGGTGGGTGCAACGACGGAATGGCTCCCCAGGCAAAGTGATTTGGGCATGAATTGAATCGGAGTCCCTTTGGGGAACATCGATTTAGGTGGGGATTCATGTTTACCAACCACCTTTGAGGTGGTTCCCTATTGAATTTCCTAGCCAATTCAAAGCACGGCCCGTTGTACCATTCAAGCCAGTACTCATATCACCAGAAAAAAAAAATCGCAAAGGAACTCACAAACCTGCGAGCGGGAGTGCACCCCTGTCCCATGGACCTGCAAGTCAAAGAAAGCTGTTTTGAATCAGCTGGCAGTCGCTCTGAACCCAAAAACCAGACAAACTATTTCAACGCATTCGCAACAGCCCTCCCTCTCTAGTTCTCAAGGTTCATGATCAATGACCATGCCGCCAAAATGGGCCAAGGTGGGACAAGTATCTATTGCGCGGTGGCTCGCGGCTGATCGACACTCCGCAATGCTCAAAGATAAAGTGGTTCATTTCAGATCATGAGCGAAACAGGATGGGAATAGTGCCAACAGTTGTCAACAAAACCAACACCGCACGGTGATATGCTGAGTCGACTTGTTCATCACTTGGGAGGAATGCCACATGCGGCAAAATCACAAAAACACGCTAGTCTCCACCTCGCAAGACCTTGCTTCGTCTTGCATTACACCTCTCCGGAAGGCTGAGATTGAGGATTGCTATCTGGTCCAAGAAAGGTCCCAGAGCCACAGCCGAAAGGCAAAACCACTCCCTCAGAAACCGCCGGAAGATCGACCCAAATCTTCCCACGAGGTCCAGCCACGCGCCACGCACTGGCCTGCGTCTGCAGAAGCAGCTGCCGTACAGGCGTCAAGGTGGAATCAACCACCTGCACAGTGAGGAAGCACTGAATTCGTCATTCCGTTATTACCGCCAACACCACCCAAATAAACTATCCAATATGAAAGCAATGTAATGTAAGGCAAGGTGATGTAATGTAGCGCAATTCATGTCATATTAATTATATTGTTATGCCGCAAGTTATGCCTGCATGTGTATATATATATATATATGGTATCACGTTGCCAGCCCCCCCGCCCCTTCAAGGGTCAGGGGTCAGACAAGTACCCCCCCTTGTGGTGTGGTCCTGTGGTTGGATTGAAACTATTCATAGTGAGTAAGAACCACTTTGCACATGAAACACGAACTGTGGAATTCCCCTTCATTGCTGGGGAACCTCCAAATGTCTGCCAGCTCTACCGATTGCCAGCTCTACCGATTGGTTGGGTATGCGAACCACAAGCAAAAACCGACTCGGAACCACCAAATCGGGCAGAAAAGTTGATTTGGGGTCCCCCAAAACGGGTTTGATTGTGAGTCACAATCAAAACCGATCGGTATTGAATCGGTCTACCCACACCATGTGAAGAGGGACGGATATCCACCAGGCCGGGAATACACTGAAAAAAGGTTCATCCACGGGTTTTGCTTGTCACCTCATTTGTTTGATCAAAACTCTGCTTCTATGGCCGATGGGGTCATGGTTCCCTTTCCAAAAAACATAGAGGATCCTTACCTGGACCAGGTGCATATCCGAACGCAAACCTCAAGAAACCTCTGTTCCGAACGAGTAGATTGGCCAAACAAGTTCCCGAACCTTTGGCTCCCATCAAGTCCTTGGATTCAAGCTCGGAACGGTAAAAAAGACGACCGGCTCACTGGTGCATTTCGGGGTGGGAAATGGAACCCGCTGTGGAACAAAAAGCGGCCTCCCAAAGACTAAGTCCCCTATAAAAGAAGGTTCCAACTTGTATCATGGCGCCTTGCGATCCCACAACCCCTGGTTTTCAAGACACCCTCAGATGCCCAATGTCCATGGGAAGAAAAAACAACTCGGACATACTTCTTTTGTTGGACAAATGAAGGGCCCCGCCCAAGGGAACCCCCTTTTACAGGAATCGGACCCCTTCCCACAAAAAAGTGGGAAACGACCAAAAACCGGGCGGAGTCCGGCCGGATTCCCCGATTTTCCGGCGGCCTTCTTGGAAAAACGGGTCGATCGATCCAAGCGATCGATGCCCGGCCAGCCCGGAGAAGCCCTGCAGGATGCCGTCCATAAAGCCCTGCGCCCTCCGGCGCGGCACCCCCAGAATCACCTGGGCTGGGCGCGGTCCAGGAGCGCGCGCGGGGGACCAGCAGGCGCGGGCAGTGGGCTCTCCGTGACCCTTTAAACATGGGTCCATGACTCCAGTATTTTGGGTAATGACCCCATTTTGTGAGGGTCATGGAGACTCCAGGCCTAGACTTGATATGTCCGGACATACGATCTTCGGATGATGTTTCATGCTGGGGTCGACCCTAAACTGTAAACTATACATTTGGAGACATGCAACTGTGCCCAAGAGATCACGTATTCTAGGAAGCACTTGCATGGCTGCTTCTCAAAATGAAAGGACGCCACAATTTATGGGGTGTTCCCTTTTGGTGTCCCTTTAAAATCACCTTGACCACCATTTTGAGAAACCCTCCCATCAGCCGATCGCCCCGCCTTACCCTGATATCGTCATTGGCTCGGGCCGTCGCGCCGCGGCTTATCTTCTCCGGATCAAGAGACTTTCAGGTGGACGGACGTTTACGGTTTTCCTGAAGGATCCCAGAACGGGACCGCACGCTGCAGATCTGATCTGGGTGCCGGCGCACGACAGTCTGCGTGGCCGCACTGTTCTCGTCACACCGACTTCGCCGCACCGTTTTTCGTCTTCGACACTCGCTTCGCTGCGCGATGAAAGTATTCCTGACATCGACCGGTTGCCACATCCTCGAGTAGCCGTTCTCATTGGAGGTGACAGCCGCCATCATACCTTCAGCCCGGACGATCAGCAGCACTTTCTGAACAGCTTGAAACGGACAGAAGAGGACGAAAGCGCCCACTTCATGATCACCGTGTCCCGTCGCACGCCACCGGCACTCTCGTCAGGTCTTGCCGGGCTGGCGACGTCCGGCAAGCATCTGTTCTGGGCCGGCGACGCGCCGAATCCGCTTGGACATTATCTGGCAAAGGCGGATGCAATCATCGCAACGGCTGATTCGACCAACATGATCGGCGAGGCCGCTGCGACAGGAAAACCCGTTCATGTGTTTCACCCGGGCGGCGGTCACGGCAAAATCACCAATTTTTTGGAGAGTTTGGAACGCCAGGGTGTAATACACCCCTTTCCAGGTCCGATAAAAACCACTACCTACGAGCCGATAGACGCGACGCCTGTCATAGCGGATCGCATCAGGAGTGATTTTTCAGCTTCACGACAGAGGGAAGCGGCAACCTGAGTCACCGCATCGTTGACGAACAGGCTGAGGAAGAAGACAGGAAACAGGTAACTTCATGAGCACGGAACACAGCAAGCTTTTGATCGTCGGCTCCGGGCCCGCCGGATATACCGCTGCTATCTACGCCGCGCGCGCCATGATCGAACCGACACTGGTCGCCGGCATTCAGCCGGGGGGGCAGTTGACCATAACCACTGACGTGGAAAACTATCCCGGTTTTGCCGATCCCGTCATGGGTCCGTGGCTCATGGAGCAGATGCAGAAACAGGCGGAAAATGTCGGTACAAAGCTTGTTTACGACACGATCGTGAAGGCCGATCTGTCGCAACGACCATTCCGGCTTGAAGCAGACAGCGGAACGGTGTTTACCGCGGACACACTCGTAATCGCCACCGGTGCCCAGGCCCGCTGGCTCGGATTGCCTTCCGAGCAGGACTACATGGGCGCTGGCGTTTCTGCATGTGCGACATGTGACGGTTTTTTCTACCGCAACAGGGAAGTCGTCGTGGTTGGCGGCGGCAACACGGCGGTGGAAGAAGCCCTTTATCTTGCCAATCTCGCTTCCAAGGTTACACTGGTGCACCGCCGCGACAGCTTGCGCGCGGAAAAAATTCTTCAGGACCGCCTTTTCCGGAACCCCAAAATCGAGGTTGTCTGGGACCATCAGGTTGATGAAATTCTTGGCGGTGGCGAGCCGAAAGGGGTTACGGGCGTTCGCCTGAAAAACACCGGAAACGGCGAACTCCGGGAGATTTCGACCGATGGCGTCTTCATCGCAATCGGACACGCACCGTCCGTGGAACTCTTCAAGGACCAGCTGACGCTGAAACCGAACGGCTACTTGGAAACAGCACCGGATTCGACCAAAACATCCATTCCGGGTGTCTTTGCAGCCGGTGACGTTACGGACGACATTTACCGTCAGGCCGTCACTGCAGCTGGAATGGGCTGCATGGCTGCCCTTGAAGCGGAGAAGTTTCTGGCCGAGCATGAGACGGCATCAACACGACAGGCAGCCGAATAAGGCAGCCTGAACGTCCTGCGGAGGGGCACGCATGGATTGGGACAAATTGCGCATCTTTCATGCGGCCGCTCAGGCGGGCAGCTTCACCCATGCAGGCGACACCCTGCATATGAGCCAGTCGGCCGTCAGCCGTCAGGTCAGTGCTCTTGAGCATGACCTGGGCGTGTCGCTGTTCCACCGTCACGCTCGCGGACTGTTGTTGACCGAACAGGGCGAATTGCTTTACCGAACCGCTGCCGACGTTCTGATGAAGCTGGAGTCCGTTCAGTCCAGCCTCACGGACAGCAAGGACAAACCGTCCGGGATTTTGCGTGTTACCACCACGGTCGGCCTCGGCTCGACCTGGCTGACCTCACGAATAAAGAGCTTTGTCGAACTCTATCCTGACGTCGACCTGCATCTGATCTTCGATGATGACGAACTCGACCTCGGCATGCGTGAAGCGGATGTCGCCATCCGATTGCGCCAACCCACGCAGCCGGACCTGATTCAGCGCAAGCTGTTTACCGTGCATTTTCACGTCTATGCCGCGCCTGAATACATACAGCGGTTCGGATCCCCATCCTCGATTGAAGATATCGACAATCACCGGATCATCACGTTCGGCGAACAGGCTCCGGCTTACCTTCGCTCGATGAACTGGCTGGAAGCTGCCGGCAGGCCGGCAACCGAACCACGCCGGTCCGTCCTGAAAGTCAACAATCTGGTTGCGATCAAACGTGCAGTCCAGTCGGGCGTGGGCATTGCCATATTGCCTGACTACATTATCGACCATGCAACCAATCTGGTGCCGGTTCTGACAGAACAGGAAGACAAGGTCCCCTCGTTCGATACTTATTTCGTCTATCCGTCTGAGCTGAAGAACACTGCACGCGTCAAGGCCTTCCGGGAATTCTTGCTGAGCAGCGCCGAAAAGTGGGTCTATTGAGACAGGCCACGAAAGGCAAGCTGACCGCGGTCTGCTGATTTGGAATTAGGCAGAATCGACTTCGACGAACAGTCAGGAAAACCTGTTTTTTGACATTTGATACGAATGTTTTCAGCAGGATAATCGATTAAATTTAGTTGAAACCAGCTCAACTGGATTGTTAATTATCTGTAATCAAATAACTTTTTGCACGCCAAAATCTTTCGACACATAGCCCTGCGGTAAGTGCATAGCAGATTTGCACCACTGCCACTTGTTTATGCAGCTTGTGCACCGCATATAAGCATCACTGTTGGTCACACGGGTGTCACGTCCTCCTCCCAGTGATGCCCAGACCAGCTGTTCCCCTCTGGAAGGTGATTCCACTGTTTTCAGTGAATCAAAATAAACTGCCGGGTCTTTTAGGACCCGGCTCTTTTTTTGCCCAGAGCATGCTGCGGCGCAGCAAATCACACTGACAATTCCTCACATGAACAGGTTTTCACCGCCCAGATCTTTATAGAGTCCGGCGACCTGTTCCTGGTAGCCATTGTAAAGAAGCGTGTCACGGCGCTCGTCCGTTCCAAGTATTTTTTCGGAAGCCTGAGACCAGCGGCGATGCGGTACTTCCGGGTTCACGTTCGCCCAGAAACCGTATTCCTTCGGCTGGATTTCTTCCCAGAAGCTCACCGGACGCTGATCGGTGAAAGAGATCCGGACAACCGACTTGATGCACTTGAAGCCGTATTTCCATGGTGTCACCAGTCGTATCGGTGCTCCGAACTGTTTGGCGAGCGGCTTGCCGTAAACACCGGTGGCCATGAAAGCCAGTTCGTTGGTTGCCTCGTCCAGCGTGAGCCCCTCGACATAGGGCCAGGGATACCAACTCTGCTTCTGACCGTTGGCAACGGACGGCTCAAGGAAAGTCTCGAAACGCAGATATTTTGCGCCCGACTGCGGTCCAGCCAGTTTCACCAGTTCGGCGAGCGGGAATCCCGACCAGGGCACGGCCATGGACCAGGCTTCCACACAGCGATGACGGTAGAGCCGTTCTTCAAGAGGCATTTTGGACAACAACGTATCTATGTCGACGATTTGCGGATTGTCGACCAGGCCGTCCAGCGTCACCGTCCAGGGCCTGATCTGCAGTTTCTGGGCAGCAGGCCAGATCTGCTTGTGTGATCCGAATTCATAGAAATTGTTATACTTGGACGCGATATCTTCCGCCGTTAGCTCACGATCCAGCTTGAAGGCTGGATTGCGGCTGACAGGATAAAGCCCCGCACTCGGGTCTTCTTCGGCAAAGGCGGGCCGCACGCCAAGACCCGATCCGGCAAGCACTCCACCTCCAATCATTCCGGCAAGGATCTGGCGGCGGTTCAAAAACACGTGCTCCGGCGTTGCATCACGCCCCGGAAGCTCCCAGCTGCGCTTTTTCAAGATATTCATGGTCCAACTCCTGTTTGCCAAAGACAGAACCGGAATCGGCCTTCAAAGGCAAATAACGCCCTGGTGACCGGGCATGGGAAGAACTTGATCGGGAGTGATCAGGATGGAGCCGTTCAGTCTCGTCCAAAAGTTTGTAAACCGGGCTGGGCGCCGGTCTTGCCATCGCGACCAATTGATATTGGAGAGGGACAGCTTGACCCCTCTCCGATCTGCCGTTTCAACGCGCTCCAAGTCCTTCTATGCGGCCTGCTTGCCCGAGCGTTGCAGTGCCTGTTCGGCAGCCTTGCCGGAAAGTTCCGCCATGTGGTCGAATTCCGATACATAACTGGCAACGCCGGCCGTCGCTGATCTGAGTTCGATAATCAGGTCGCCGATTTCTGCTTCCGGCAACAGCGCCTGCACCTCATCCCAACCTGGCCAGTTCGGCCTTGCGTCAAAGCCGAGAAGTTGTCCCCTTCTTGCAGACACGATCGCATTGACCCTCGCGGTGGCATCGTTGGGGCAGGCGATAACCACTTTGTGGATTGGCTCCAGAAGCACCGGTTTGCAATCCGGCAAGCCTTCTCGGATTGCCAGCGCGCCGGCCATTTTGAATGCCTGGTCCGAACTGTCGACGGAGTGATAGGAGCCGTCGGTCAGGCAGATCGCCACGTCCACAACCGGAAATCCGAACGTGCCGCGTCCCAACGCATCCAATGCACCATCCCTGACGGAGGGAATGTATTGTTTGGGTACAACTCCACCGGTGATCGTGTCGGAGAACTGAATTCCCTCGCCTCTGGGAAGTGGCGAAATCTCCAGAACTACATCTCCGAATTGACCGTGTCCACCGGATTGTTTCTTGTGGCGCCCCCGAACCTTTGTCCTGGCACGGATGGTCTCCGCGTAGGGGATATGCGGCGTATGTGCCGATACATCCAGACCGTACTTGCCTGCCAGACGTTCCTGCGCCACCCGCAGATGCATCTCGCCCTGGCCTTTCAAAAGTGTTTCTGCCGTGGTCTGGTTCTGGCTGATGGACAGAGATGGATCTTCTTCCGCGAGCTTGGCCAGTGCGGCGGACAAACGGACTTCATCTTTTCTCTGCACCGCTTCAATAGCGGTCGCAAGGGCCGGGCTGCGCGGCTCGGGCGAGTTAAGCCCGGTAAATGCACCTTCATCATGACTGAGAAGATCACCTGTTTCCACGTGTTCAAGACGCCCGAGTGCGACGAGATCGCCCTTTCCCGCCGTTGCGATTTTGCTGGCAGTTTGACCAAAGACCGAAAACAGCCCGGAAACCTTGACTTCGTCCCGACCGTTGCGGAAGAGGCTGTCCCCGTCGGAAACCTGCCCTTCCAGAACACGTGCAATGGAAATCTTGCCACCATGCTGTGTGTGCAGGGTCTTGATCACCTGGAGTGCCGCACGGCTGTTGTCATCCAAAATCCGGTTTGACAGGGTATCGACGAAGGGTGCCTCGTGCCGGAGCGCCTTTAACAGCCGGCTGACACCGTTGCCGTGATCGGCCGATCCGAAGAAGACCGGACAGATCAGTCCGTCCTGCATTTCCTTGACCAGATCGGAAAAAACGAGGTCGCGATCCGGTGCGATATCCTCCAGAAGCGCTTCCATCAGATCATCGTCGTGATCGGCGAGATGTTCGAGCATGGTAAAGCGGGCTTCGTGTTCGCGCGTCCGGTCTTCATCGGACATGTCGATTTCCGTGCTGGGTTCCTTCTCGTGATAGACATGAGCCCGCTCAAGCGCCAAATCGATAAAACCGGTCGCCTGGCTGTCCTCCCAGATCGGGATCTGCCTCAATACCAGTGGAACCTCGGATGCCGGTTGCAGAACGGTCAATACATCCCGTACACGCCGGCTGCTCTTGTCGATCTTGTTCAAAAACAAAACCCGCGGAATGGCGCGGGCTTCGAGAGCTTTCAGGATGAGTTGAAGCGCGGGAACCTTGCGCTCGTCATCCTCCGCCACAACGACCGCCATATCGACGCCGCTGAGCGCTCCGTCCATTTCACTCAGGAATTCAACCGACCCGGGACAGTCAACAAAGACGAACCGGTCGCCCAGATATTCCGTATCTGCAACATTGACCTCCACGCTCATGCCGTGAGACCGCGCCTCCGGCGAAGCATCACCTACAGTATTACCGTCGGTAACTGTCCCCTGCCGGGCCAGTTTGTCCGTTCGCGCCAGCAAAGCCTCCAAGAGACTGGTCTTTCCGCTGCCGAACGGACCGACTAGGGCGATACAGCGCGGCGTACTGCCGGCAGCTGTTCCTTTTCCGTTAGTAGAGTTTGCCATAAAGAGCCTCCCGTATGCTCGAGGATATCCCCGGAAATACGCGGCTTGGCCGGTGAGGAACGCGGGCCTGCCGCGTCTCGCCCGGATGGGATCGAAGGTCGAAGTCCTTGCCTTGCGGTGCTGGACCTTTGTTTTGACGACACATCGACCAGGGGCGATCACGTATCGTCGCGCCGAACATGACTGCAAAGCAAGGGAATATTACGTCGCAGTGCAGCAATTCAGCCGATCCTCGCACAAACATGAAGCAGAAACAGTTTCTTGCCGCATTGATGTGTGAAGATGTCGGGTGACTGGTTTCCAGCTCCAGGTCGGGAGAAAGTCATCCGATCTTGTGCGTGCTGCTGGCTTCAAGCTAATCTGCTCCGCAAGATTCAAGACGCCCGACAAGGCGCAACGGAAATTCGACTGTGCAGGTGTGTGCTCATGACAATACGTAAGTGCTTTTGGTTCTTCGTGCTTTGCCCGATGATGTTCGCTGTTCCGGCAGCCGCGCAGAACGTTCAGTTGCGCGGGTTGCCGCAACCTGGAACTTCACTCCTTCCCTCGGCTGAGCAACAACTGAACCAGAACCTAGATCGCCAGAAGACAGATTTCTCAACGCAACGGCAGATCGACAGGGCAGTCCGGCAGAACCAGATTGATCAGTTGAATCGTCGCAATGCTGAAAGAAGTATTTATTCAGATCCGTGCGCGCACGTGAATTCGCCCTGCGCCACTCAAAGATGAACCGCCTTGTAACGCGGGACACCTGAATATGGTCCGCCCGTTTCCCGGAAGTGAAACGGGCGGAGTTACTGTCTAGTTGATGGCTTCCAGGGTCAGTTTGCTGACGCCGAGCGTCAGGTTGGTGCCGGTCTGACTTTCCAGGCTGAACGGATTGAGTGCGATCGAACGGTCGAACCCGCCCAGTAGCGCGTTGGCCTTGATCCCGGCGCCCAGGCTGGCACCGGCGGTCAATCCACCGTAGGTCCCTGCGAGAAGGCCCGGTTTGCGGTTTGCAGACGGCGCCAACACGCCCCAGACAAGAGTTGCCTCTTTGGTCGTGCCGATATCAAGGCCATAGTCCCTGACATTACCGCGGTAGTACTCGATCTCCCCGCCGTCGACCGGCTTGAAACTGCAACCGAGTTTTGCCGATGATCCCACAATAAAGCTGTGCTCTCCTTCCACCAGGCAGCTTAAGGTACCGATCTCGACCTTTGGGCTGTTTTCCGATGCATGAGCGGAAGCTGTGACAGCAAGAACCGCGGCGGCAAGTGAGACGCTCAAAAAGCGCATATTGAAATTCTCCATATCAAGAGGAGCCCCGATTGCCTTTGAATGGCAACGGGAGCAACCGTGATATGCAACCCTATCGCGTCAAAATCGGGGCGACGTGAATTCTTCCGGCTCTCTGGCAGATACACAAAACAAAGGGCGGCAAGAGCCGCCCTTCAGCTGTAATCTCGCACTGTCCGGACAGACTATTTCAGGTTTCCGCAGAAACGCTGGATCCTTGTGCAGGCTTCTTCCAGGGCTTCGGTGGATGTTGCGTAGGAAATCCGGAAATTCGGACCAAGACCGAACGCGGACCCGTGCACGACTGCAACGCCTTCCGTTTCCAGGAGTTCGGTCACGAAGTCCGCATCGCCCTCGATCACCTTGCCGGACGGCGCCGTCTTGCCGATCGTGCCTGCGCAGGACGGGAACACGTAAAAGGCACCTTCTGGCACGGGGCACGTAATGCCATTTGCCTGGTTCAGCATGGAAACGACCAGATCCCGGCGATCCTTGAAGACTTCATTGTTCCGCGGAATGAAATCCTGCGGACCGGAAAGCGCTTCGACTGCCGCCCATTGGGCGATGGAGCAAGGGTTCGAGGTCGATTGGGACTGAACTTTTGCCATTGCCTTGATGAGATCGGCAGGGCCGCCGGCGTAACCGATCCGCCAACCTGTCATAGCGTAGGCCTTGGAGACGCCGTTGACAGTCAGCGTGCGCTCGTAAAGAGACGGCTCGACCTGTGCAGGCGTCGTGAACTTGAAGTCGTCATAGACCAGGTGCTCGTACATGTCGTCGGTCATGATCCAGACCTGCGGATGCTTCGAAAGCACATCTGTAAGGGCCTTCAGCTCTGCCTCGGTATAGGCCGCGCCGGACGGGTTGGACGGCGAATTGAAGATCAGCCATTTCGTGCGCGAGGTTATCGCCGCATCAAGCGCTTCAGGCGTGATCTTGAAAGTAGACTTGTCTGCTTCGACGATAACCGGCTCACCGCCAGCAAGCAGCACCATGTCCGGGTAGCTGACCCAGTAGGGTGTCGGGATGATAACCTCATCACCGGGATTGAGCGTCGCGATGAGAGCATTGTAGAGCACCTGCTTGCCGCCGGTACCCACAGTGATCTGGTTTGTCGCGTAGGTGAGCCCGTTTTCCCGTTGAAACTTCTCGGCGATTGCGGCCTTGAGTTCGGGAATACCATCGACAGCGGTGTACTTGGTCTTGCCGTCATTGATCGCCGCGATCGCCGCCGTCTTGATGTTGTCCGGGGTATCGAAATCCGGCTCGCCAGCGCCGAGACCGATTACATCGCGGCCAGCAGCTTTTAGCTCGCGTGCCTTGTTGGTGACAGCGATGGTCGCAGAAGGTTGAACACGCGCCAATGCGTCAGCAAGAAAGCCCATAATATCCTCCAGGGGGAAACGGAATTAACAGCGCGCGGACCGTAGGCCCGTGTGTGCCGGAAGACAAGTCCCAATCAGCTCCCGCAATCCCGTCAAGGCAACTTTTTGGCACCAGGACCTGGAGGCGTTTCCTCAGCTTCGCGTCTCAAGGATGAGCTTCGGCTCATCCTTGTTCTCATCGATGAGGCTGCACTTGAATCTCTTCTTTTTTGTCTGACCGTTCAAAGTTGTTACGGGAACGGAAATCGGCACGTCGGATTCCTGCTTGGCAGAGCCGAGCAAAGACTGAAAATCATCGGCTTGAAGCAGAGAATCGGTGATTGCCTTTTCATCCAGACTTTCCGGAGTCAAATTATAGGTTTTCATCGCGGACTGATTGGCGGCAATGATCATGCGCGTCTTCGTGTTGACAACGAGCATCGGCGCGCTGCAAATCTCGAAGACCTGAGCGAAATCGACATCGCCGCCGACGTGTCCTGCGGAAAACAGGACACCTCCCACGGTCCCGCCCATGCGAAAATACATGGCATCGTAATTCAGATCGAGACCTTCGCTGGCCGTAATCAGAAACTTGCCGCGTCCTGTCGCACTCGCCCGCCGGGATAGCGATGCCAGCACCAGGGATACAATTGTGCGTCCGACACGGTTTTGAATATGGGAGATGTTTCGGCCCAGGATCAGGCGCGCATCTTCAATCTGAAAGCTCTTCAGGAATCCGTCACTGGCGAAACGCACATAGCCGAAATTGTCCGCCAGCAGAACGATCCGGGAGGACGAGGCAACGAAGTGCTGCAGGATCGGCGAAAGCCCGAGCGCGATCTGCGCCGGATTGTCTTCAGTTTTCCCGATTGACGGAAAGCAGATTGCAAGGATGCGTCCGTCCGGCAATTCATAACGGTACGCAACGATGGGAACACCCGGAATTCTGTGGTCGGGACCTCCGCCGACATCAAATGGTCCGGCCTGTCCTTCGCGTATGGCACCTTGCACCAGACGCAGGATCGTCTTGCGGTCTTCCGGTGAAAGGAGACGCAAAGCCTCGTTGGAAGGTGCTTCCTGCAGGTCCTTCACTTCGCTATCGAAACTTTGAGACCCGACCTCATGCCACAAAATGGTTTTCTTGCTGATATCGGCGATAAAGAACTGAAGACCGGACAGGGAAAGCGCCGGTTTGTCGTTCTGCGTTTGTATCTGCTCCGACTTCTCGGTCGGCGCGGAGGGTCCATCAGTTTCCTGCGGCTTCTCGGCCAGAGCGCTCTGTGCTGCGTTGAGTGTCATTTCTGCCCGACCTGTTTCTCAAAAAACTTTCCAAGACATCGAGTATCGCAGGTAAAAGCAAACAAACACTAAAATGCACCGGCTAAAGTCGCGCGCCCGTCGAAACACAGTGTTCAAGCGAAAGGAACTTCTGTTCCCGAATTCTCTCGGGATCGCGGCCGTGCCGCAATATTGTCACGAAAACTCTCATCCATCGCCAGAATGCAGTCTGTCTGACGGCCCAATTGCAATCGACATTGCAAGCTGGAAGACGATGGAGGTTTCCATGCCGTTATTGACATCACCCGACACGTCTCGCGCGACACCAAAGTCCGGTTTCCGGCCGGTGTTGCTTTTCCTGCTGGCCATCGGTCTGTTGATGATGATGTCGCTGGCGATCGCCCCGACGCTGGCGCTTCCCCTCGTTGCATTCGTCGCCATGGCGGCTGTGACGCGGTTGCTGGGCCTGCGACTTTACGATGATCTGACGCAAGCAGTAGATCACCACGTCTAACAAGAACACGAAACAAAGACCGGCTCGCACTGAACTATGGCAAATATTGAGAACCCGAACGGACGGAAACACGTTTCCGGCGGCAGTGACCTGCGTGACGCCAAACCCCTCTTGCAGGCCATTTTCCTGGGCATGGTTCTTGCCGTCGCACTGGTTGCCGCGGCCACAATGGCGAATTCGGAAGCCGACGAAAACGGGGCACTTCAGGACACGGAAATCGAACAATCGCTCCCTGACGGCAAGGTGAGGCAGGACCCTCACGGACGGTGAGCACGTTGTACTTGCTCTAAACAATGCGGGTCGCAATGAGCGCAACCACCACATAACGGCCGGTTTTGGCAAGCGCCACCAACAGGAGAAATGGCCAGAACCGTTCCCGCAATAGACCGGCAGCAAGCGTCAGCGGGTCCCCGATGACCGGTGCCCAACTCATCAGAAGGCTCCAGCGGCCGTAGCGCTGATACCAGGCTGTGGCTCTTTCAAGTTTTTCCGGTTTGACGGGAAACCACCTTGCATCCGAGAAACGGATCGCACCGCGTCCCAGCCCCCAGTTCACCAGAGATCCGAGCGTGTTACCGAGACTGGCCGTCATTACGAGCAACAAGACGGGCGCGGTTTCCAGGTAGATCAGACCGGAAAGCCCCAGTTCGGATTGCGCGGGTAGCAAGGTTGCGGCCAGGAAAGATATTCCGAAGAGGCCCAGTAGACTGCTGCTCATGATTGAAGCTGCATACACGCAAGCAGGCAGGTGAAGCAAGGCTGCGTGCAAGCCGCCGGATTGCTGCCGGACACATCTCTTCAGATGAACTGGCTATTTTGCGATGCCGTTCCCTGCCGTCACAAACAGCCCCACGGCCTCATCCGCGGCAATGTCACAATCCGTTCTGAGCGAGTGGCCGCCAAACTCGTGGAGCTCTTTGATTGTTCACGCCAATCAGAAGGCGGCATTCCTGAAAATGGCACTGTTGGCCGCCACGATCGCTACCGCATTCATTCTGTTCTTGGCGCCGAGGCGGGTAATGGCATTCCGGATGTGAACCTTGACCGTTGCCGTCGAGACACCGAGGTCATAGGCGATCTGCTTGTTCACTTTCCCCTCACAGAGCAAAAGCAGGATTTCAAGCTGACGCTGTGTGAGTTTGTCACTCAGGTTCAGTGGCAGTTGGACACTGCCTGAAAGAGACTTGCTGAGTCCGGTCTGGGCTTCATGTGTATCGAGTGCAAAATGAGCGTTCATCACCGTGTTCCCACTTGAGGTGTTTCCATCCTTGGTGAGAGGACTTTCCTCCAAAGTGCTTATATTGTAAAATGTTAAAATGTTTACAGATAAAAGCTAAAAATTAGCAATTCACCAATCGGACGCGACGATGAACAGGAAACTCTATTCAGGCCACACCTTGCGCCAGATCAGATCCGACTTTGGCCTCTCGCAGACCGAGTTCGCCAAAAAGATCGGGCTCTCCACCGCCTATGTGAATCAGATCGAGAACAACAACAGACCGGTCACTGCCTCCGTCCTGCTAACTATCAACCGGATTTTCGGCATCGACCTTGCCGCGTTCGAGAAGAATGACCTCGACAGGGTGGTTCAGGATCTGGAGGAGGTTTTTGCCGACACCCAGTTTCACAGTTCTACTGTCAGCCGACAGGAAATTCAGGAACTGGTGACGCGGGCGCCCGGCGTAACCCAGACCATCATGGATCTTTACGGAGCGCTGCGCAGCTACCATGACCGGGATGTGCTTGAAGATGATCTTGTGCAGATGAGCGGAGCCGACGAGGCCGGTGTAGGTGTCCGCAAATCCGCCTATGATGAAGTGCGTGATTTCTTTCACTATACGGACAACTATGTCGACAGCCTCGATCGGGCGGCTGAAAAACTCTCCCACGAAATCAGCCTGCACAATTGCCAGAGCAAGTTCGACATGTTGACCGGCTGGCTTCGCAAGCGCTTCGACATTGGCGTCGAACAGGTTCAGGACTACCAGGGTACGCTGATCCGCCATCAGGACTACACCCGCAAAATCTCGATCTATCGCGCAATCCCCCAGTCCACCAAGAATTTTCTCCTTGGGACGGTCATCGCGGAACTGTGTGTAAAAGATCTGATTTCAGAAGAAGTCAGGCATGCAAATTTCAGAACCGGCTCGGCGGAGAGCATCGCAACGCTCGCTCTTCGCAACTATTTCTCCGGCGCATTGCTGCTGCCATATGACGACTTTCTGCGCACGGCAACAAAGTGCCGGCATGATATTCAGCTTCTGTCGAACACGATGGACGCAAGCATCGAAACTGTTTGCCACCGGCTATCGACACTTCAGCGCCAGGGCGCAAACGGCCTGCCTTTTTACTTCGTCAAGATTGACCGCGCCGGCAATGTCGTCAAACGGCACAGTGCAACCCGCTTCCAGTTCGCCCGCTTTGGAGGCTCCTGCCCACGCTGGAACGTACATCAGGCCTTTGAGCAGAACTCGAACAAATTTACCGCCCAGATCGCGCAGATGCCGGATGGTGTCGAGTATCTTTGCATCGCCACCAGCGTCACCAAGCATCAGCCGGACTATGGCACCGGCGAACGCAGGTATGCGCTCGGCATCGGCTGCGAAGTCAAGTATTCGGACGCGATCGTTTATGCTGACAGGTTGGCGGTTGACGAGACATCCTTGCCTGAGCCCATTGGTGTCAATTGCCGCATCTGTCCGCGAGACGATTGTGATCAACGGGCTTTCCCGGCAATCGACAAGGAACCCTTCATCGACCCGGGTCAGCGCGGCATCGTGCCGTACCGGGTGAAGGCCGCCGGATAACGACCGGAGGCCATCCATCTTCGGATGGATTGTGCAGGAAAATCGCACTGGTTATTGTCGGGTTGCTGCCTGTGAAGCCGCCATGACGGCGCGCCGCGATGGCAGGTTCAGCCGTTGCAGGACGGCATGTACATGATCCTTGACCGTGGCGATACTGATGCCGAATTCCTCTGCGATCTGCCTGTTTGATTTTCCCTGGATGACAAGCCTCGTGACTTGCTTCTGGCGAGGTGTGAGCGGTGCAAGCAATTCGGTATCCGAAGGCTTTTCAACAACGGTCACGAGAGGCGCACCGATCGTCCTGCTGGCATCCAGATCGATCGTCAGTTTCGTGCCTCGAATTGCCAATGGCGCCAATAATTCAAGAACAGCGGCTGGCACGGGAGCAGGCGCCGTTTCGCGCAGGTCTTTCAGAACGGCCGTCAACGCTTCGATCACTTCAGGTTCGACAGACATTCGAAAGGACTCCTCATGAGCAACATGCCTCTGGAAATTGCAAACTTCTTCCTGGCAATGCAAGCCGGGCCGTCCGGTGCAGACCTGCTCGGCTCATTATTTGCCGAAGATGCTGTCTATTCGGAGCCCTTCTCCGGCCAGCCCGAACCTCATCGCGGTCGCAGCGCCATTCTCGCAGCCTTTGCCTCCAGCCGAACCGACGCATTCAACGACGCCGTTATCAATCTCGGCGCAGTTGAAGTCGATGACGGGACGATAACCGTGCAATGGACCTGTTTTTCACAGGCCATTCCAGGTGGCAGCGGAAGCGGCAAGAATGTTTTCACCCTATCGAACGGAAAGATCGTCTCGCTGGTGACAACCCTCGACATGCCGTAATGTGAACGCACGCCCCCGTATCAAGCGAAGTTGCACGGCCGCAAATCAGCTTTCCAGCAGGCTTTGAAAATGATTGCGCAGTTCGTATTGACCGCGCTGCCCCTGCAAGACCTCTTTGAGCTCACCCTTGGAGTCGAACAGGAGCAACGTGACATGCGGCACGCCGTGGCGGGTTGCAAAACCTTTGCCCTTGTCCGTGCGGATATTGGCGATCACGTAGTCAAGTTGCCCCTCCTCGAACATTGCCAGTGCCTCGCGGGTTTCTGCCTGGAGAGATCTGCAAAGCGAACATTGGGGATCATGAACCTGAACGATTGTCGGGAGGCCGTTGCCGACCCGTGTCAGGTCGTGTTCATGGCGCATGCTCGCGAAATTGTTTGCAAAGACGTAGCCGGTACCGCCCAGCAGCACGGCCCCTATTCCGAGATTGCGCGCAAGGCGCAGAAACTTGCGCCTGCCCTGTTCAGCGCCGGACTGCGCGTTCAGCGCTTCGTTTTGCCGGTGTTTTCTATTGGTAGATCTGGTTGATTTCCGTTGTTTCTTCATAAATCACCTGTCTGAAATCTGGACCCGCAAGCCCGCGATCCCGGCGGTTGCCGGTTGCGGCAGAGGGGTCACGTAACAATGATTGCGGCCCCCGGGCGGACACGGTCGAAGAGGTCGATGACATCCTGGTTGACAAGGCGGACACATCCGGAAGACACGGCCTTGCCGATCGAGGTCGGTTGGTTGGTCCCGTGCAACCGGTAAAGCGTGTCGACATTGCCCTGGAAGATGTAGAGCGCGCGCGCACCGAGCGGATTGCCTAACCCTGGAGCCATACCGCCGTTTTTCGCGCTGAACTGCTCCAGTTCCGGTTCACGGGCAATCATTTCATCGGGAGGCGTCCATGTCGGCCAGGGCCGTTTCCACGCAATCCGGGCGCGGCCGGACCACTCGAAGCCCTGTCGCCCGAGGCCAACGCCGTAACGCATGGCCGTTCCGCTCGGCTCCACCAGATAGAGATAAAAACTCCCGGTATCGACCACGACGGTCCCGGGGTCCTCGCTGGTCTGGTAGGCAACACGCTGCCGCCTGAAAGCGGGCGAAAGCACCCTCGGATCGACCGCTGGGATCGGAAACTCTTCCTGCGGGCGCGGCCCGTAGTTCTGCAGGAAATTTGCGTCCACCGCCGGCTGCGCCGGTGTCGGGGTTGGAACGGGCGTTGTTCTTGTGGAACAGCCGGCAAGAGTCAGGGCCAACATACCCAGCCCGCCGGACAGCGCCTTACGCCGTGTCACGTTACTAGTCATCGATGTCTTTTCCGAAACGCGGCGCCTAAAGCACGACCACTTGCGTTCCAAGCGGAACGCGATTGTAGAGATCGACGACATGGTCATTGATCATGCGGATGCAACCGTTGGAAACCGACCTGCCAATGGATCGTGGCTGTGTCGTCCCGTGGATGCGGTAATAGGTATCGCGGCCGTTCTTGTAGAGATAAAGCGCACGGGCCCCGAGTGGATTATTGATCCCTCCGGGCACGCCATCGGCATAGCGCGCATATTTTTGCGGCTCGCGACGGATCATGTTTCTGGTCGGTGTCCAGCGTGGCCATTCCGCTTTCCTGTCGATTGTCGCCCTGCCTCTGAAAGCAAGACCGGCCTTGCCGACGCCAACGCCATAGCGGCGCGCGCGTCCCCAGCGCTCCATCAGATAAAGGAAGTGGTTACGTGGATCGACCACGATGGTTCCAGGCGCATAGTTCATGGAAAAGAACACACGCTGCGGCGCATACTGAGGGTCGAGTTTAAAATTCTTGTATTTCGCAGTGTGATGCGCATTTGCAAGTCCCGGCTGCGCCAGAACCAGCGCTGCAGCACCGCCGAGCAATAATTCCCGTTTGTTCAACACGAGGATTTCTCCTGATTTTTCAACAACCTTATGGCGAACCTTCGGGTTCACCTCACAAGACGGTCAAATCAGGAATTGGGTGGTTTGGGTTCCAGCCTTTTCGGAACCGATGTGTGATGACGAACGGAAACCCAGTCGGGATGGTCCTGAACGTCCCTGGAAACAAATGCCGCCCCGGCCATCACCGCCTTGCATTCGGAATTCTTGCAAAAAGACGGCTTGCTTTCGGCTATCGGCTCCTCGCCACAGCAGGTGTCTTCCTGCAATTGAGCAACTGCGACATCCATTGTGATCGCGTCGGACACCCCATCCAGGGACACATCAACCGCCCCGCGCGCAAAACCTTGCTGCGCGCCCGCGATCAAAAGTCCAACAATGAGTAAAATCCGGAACATGAACAACAATTTACAGAAGCAGGTTAATGAAACCTAGACACGTAGCTTCACAGTCCTGTGAGGGGCGCGTGTTACCTCGCCCCTCCGAAAAGTATTTTACCGATCACACGAACTGGAAATCGTCGCTTTCGAGGGAGAACAGCAATGTGTTTTGAAGGGTCAGGCTGTCCGTCTCACTCAAGGCAAAGACTGTGTCTGCTCCTTGTTGTGAAGCTGTTGCCAGAAGATCCTCGAAATCAACGATGTCATCGAAAGAAATCGAAATGATATCTCCGGCTGCAGACGACGTGTCTGCATCAAGAGCCGGTTCGAAATCCTGGATGACATCGTTGCCACTGGTGAAGTGGAAAATGTCCTGCCCGGAACCGCCAATCAGGAAGTCATTCCCGGAGCCGCCGTCTATCCGGTCATTTCCATTTCCACCATTCAGCTTGTCATCGCCGGACCCTCCGGTCAGGCGATCATCGCCCTCTTCACCCGACAGCACATCATTGCCACCCAGCCCTGCGATCAGATCATTCCCGTCGCGGCCCAGGATCGTGTTGACTTCATTGTTCCCCACAATGACGTCATCAAGTTTGGTTCCGTTGATGTTCTCGATGCTTACAAGATCATCATGTTCAACGGTCCCGGTGGCGATGCCCTGGTTCAGGGCTGACCAGCCCAGAGAGCTGTTGTCGAGTGCTGTTGCCCAGGACCGGTCCAACCGGATGTAAATTCCTTCCGCATTCTGCGAATAGTCGGCCGTATCTGAACCTTCACCGCCATCAAGCAGGTTGGATCCGGTACCACCAAACAAACGGTCGTTACCGCCTTCTCCGAAAATCTCGTCGTTTCCACCCTGACCGGCAAGGAAATCGTTGCCATCACCGCCCCAGATTGCATTGGCTTGTGCGTCCCCGGAAACAGCGTCACCGAAGCTGGAACCAATGATGTTCTCGATGTCTACGAAATCGTCATGAGCGACAGTGTTGGCGGCGATTCCCTGTGTCAGCGCAACCCAGCCGGGAGCCTTGTTGGCAAGTGCCGTTCCCCAGGACCGGTCCATGCGGACATAAACAGCCTCCGAGCTCAGTGAATAGTCCGCTGCGTCAGCGCCATCACCCCCATCAAGAGTGTTGTTTCCGGTGCCGCCCTGCAATCGGTCGTCGCCGTCGCCTCCCAGCAGGTGGTCATCTCCTTCTCCGCCATTCAGGGTATCGTTTCCAAGACCACCGGAAACAATGTCATTGCCGCCTTCACCGCTGATATCGTCGTCATCCGCGCCCCCGCGCAAAAGATCGTCTGCGTCCGTACCGGCGACCGGCTGCGAGGCTGCCGGCAGTTCGGACGTGGTGAAGTTGAAGGTCGATGTGTCTCCTTCTTCAATACCCTCAAATGTGTTGCCGTCCGAATCGACAAAAGCGCCGTCGGAGATTTCGACCGAGTAGCGAGTGTCAGCCTCAAGATGTTCGGGAGGCGTTACCACCACCGTGGTTCCGTCGAATTGAACGAGCCGCGCGTCTGTTACGTCAATCTGGGTCCGTTCACCGGTCGAACGGTTCACCAGAGTGAGGAATCCTTCCCCGGCCTTGACCTCTTCGGTGAAAGTGAGGGCAAGAGAGGCATCGTTCGAGACATCACGCTCGTTGTCCGTCGGTGTCGCCGAAACGAGATAGGGATCCGCCTCTCCGTCAAGGGTTACTTCGACCGGGAAATAGACAGACCCTTCAGATGAAAAACCGAGGCGCCCGTCGGAATTCGATCCCCAGGTGAAAATCGCACCGTCATCGGCAAACGCAATGATCGAATTCGGGCCGGTAGGAATTTCAACGATGTTCACATCGTCGAGCTGCGGGATCAGCGTAGGATAGAAGGACGCATCCGTTTCAGTCGCCGGATCACCGTCAAGACCGCCACTCGGGCCTTCGTCGTTCGGACCCCAGACGTAGACATCCCCGTCTTCGGTCAATGCAGCGCCCCAACGCGCGCCACCTTTGACTTCGACGACATTGCCTGGAAGACCGGGTAGCTCGACCGGGGCAAGAACATCGGCCGTATCGACGTCAAACGTTCCGTCACCATTGTCCGTTCCCTGAAGAAGCTGCCCGTACCGGTTTTCACCCCAGCCGAATACCCGTCCGTCTTCGGTTACGGCGTAAGACGTCTTTGTGTCCGCAGTCACGGAAACAACATTCGACGGCAGGCCTTCGACAAGAACAGGTTCAACGGCGCGGCGTGCGGGAGTTCCGTCGTCCTCAAGCGCATCGGGTGAACCGAGCTGGCCGTCGGTGTTGCTGCCAAATGCATAGACCTGGCCATCGGCGGTCAATGCAAGCGTATGGGACGTTCCGGAGGAAACCAGGACAACCGTTTCGTTTACCAGCGCCTCGACCACTGTCGGTACATGACGTTCACTCTGATCACCGAGACCCAGTTGTCCGTTGGAGTTCGTTCCCCAGGCGTAGAGTGTACCGTTGTCTGAAATCGCGTACGAAACGCCATTCCCGTTCTCGATGGTGGCGATGTTGACATCGTCAAGCGCTTCGACGCGGGTCGCGGTTGTGCGGGTCTCTTCATCACCGGTACCAAGCGGCCCGTTGTTGTTGAAGCCGAATGCGTAAACGTCACCGTCTTCGGTCAGGAAGGTCGTGTGCAGCAGACCAGCGGAAACGGAGACGATCTTGGAATCGAAACCGTCTGGCATCGAGACTTCGACAGGTGTCTTGATATCAAATCCGTTCGTGCCGTTTCCAAGTTGGCCAACGACGTTTTCTCCTGACGTGTAGAGCGTATTGCTTTCCTGGTCGAGGAAGACGGAGAAATGGTTGCCTGCGCCGGCAGTCGCCGACGTGACCTCGGCCTTACCCTCATAAAATTCGACAGCACGCGGACGGTCGAGTTGGTCGTCATAACTGGAGGACCCGAAAACACTGGTTTCTCCCGCATCCAGATAGTCGCCATCGCCATTCAGATCGCTCAGCCGCACGACGTTGTTCGCAGCCCCGAATGTATTTGCTGTCAGGGACAGGTTGCCGTCTTCATCCGCCGCGACGGAAAATCCGATATCGGCGCCAAATCCTTCGGGCATCGCCGAGGCATTCCAGACTTCGGTCGCTTCGCTTTGATCGTCGATCTGGCCGGAACCGTCCAGATCTGTCAGTCGGTAAAGCTTGAGTTCTTCTCCGGACTCCGGAAACCAGGTAAGCGTATAGAGTGAGCCGTCAACAGATACAGCGTTTGCTATGTCAACAGGCGCTCCGAAGTTCATGTCGTCGGAAATGAAGGTCTGGACTTCGCCATCCTGAATCTTGCCGTCGCCGTTCTTGTCCTCGATCCGGTAAATGGCGTCCGTTACCGCTCCGGTCAGGTCATTGAGGTAGGCCACGTTGCCGTCAAAACTGATATCGAAGGGAACGGCCGTGTCGATGACCGTCTGCACGTCGAGCCAGAGCGTCGCCTCGCCTTCATCGTTGGCATCGCCGTCGCCATTCAGATCGACCGTCCTGTAGATCGCATCCTGCGGTGTGGACCGGGTTCCGGCGTTGGTTACGTAAATGGCACCATCGAGTCCCTCGTGGATCCCGTTCGGAGTGATGGTTGAGAACCCGGCCGCATTGTCGGCAGAAAACCAGACATTTCCCTCCCCCTCGTCTTGCGCGTCACCATCATTGTTCTTGTCCATCAATCGGATGACGGCATCCGCCGTACCATCCCCGTAATAGACGGACTTGTCGGCAGCTTGATGGACGGTGAAGACGTTATTGGTCGGAAGCGAGAGACCCGAGGCATTGGTCTCGTCGAAGAAGACGGAGGTCTCACCGGCACCGGACGCGGTGCCGTCGCCGTCCAGATCTTGCAGAAGCAATAACTGGTCGTGTCGCTGGTCCCCAACCAGAATGCCGTTGTTAACGCGTGAAATAAGTCGTGCCATTTGAGGCTCCCGAGCATGATGAATATGTGTTTGCCTGGCGAGCCTGCTGGGTTGTTTGCATCCAGATATTTCCCAACCCAAACGTTGTCAATCACAAGAATTTAAAATTTGAATAAAATACTCAAGTTTAGAATTATTCCATATTTATCAGCGAGATGAACAAAATATTGGCGAATGGACTCAATATCGATACGAGTGAAGCCCGCCCTGCACGAAGTTCGGGGTTTCCGGTCGTTTCCGGCCCTGGGTTGGACAACAATTCACTCCGCGATCTATTTGCAAAACAGTGTTCGCCGGACGATTGGGTGCGACGGTACACCAACGACTGGCAGTCATCGATTTCAAATCTGCAGGCATTCAAGCTCGCTGACGATTCTGTGCTTGCCTGCCCTTTGCCTGGCGTGTCGACTGAAAACGGTAACTTGACGCAGCGTTACCCATGCGTCTGAATTGTCTGACACAATTGCGAACCGCCTTGCCTTCCACCGCCCGGAAGCTGCAGGCCGGCGGCAGGCAGCATTGGGAGGCGACGACATGAAATTCGACCTGGGAACCTATTCGCGGAAGATCACGACGAAATCGCAAGAAGCAAAAGATCACTTCGACCAGGGGCTGGTCTGGCTTTACGGCTATAATCATGAAGCTGCAGCCGGCTGTTTTGAGAAGGCCATTGAAAGTGACCCCGATTGCGGCATGGCCTATTGGGGTCTCGCCTATGCGATTGGCCCGAACTACAACAAGCCCTGGGAGTTCTTTGAGCCCGAAGAACGTATCTCGATGCTGAAAAAGGCCAAGGAGACCGTCGAGACCGGCCTGAGCCTTGCAACAAAACTGCAACCGGTTGAAATTGCCCTTCTCGAAGCGATCGGAAAGCGTTTTCCGGATGACCCTTCTGTAGAGGACTATCTCCCTTGGCACGACGCGTTTGCAGACGCAATGCGTCAGGTACATGCTGCGCACGGGGACGATCTGGATATCGTGACGATATTCGCCGAAGCCCTGATGAACCGCTCGCCCTGGCAGCTCTGGGACTTGCCGAACGGGCGGCCTGCGGAGGGTGCGTCAACCCTGGAGGCCCAGACCGCGCTGGAAACGGTTTTCAACGAACGCGCCGACGCCTGGGAACACCCTGGCCTTCTCCACATGTATATCCATCTCATGGAGATGTCGCCGACACCGGAAAAGGCTCTGAAGCACGGCGATCGGCTGGTGGATCTGGTGCCCGAGAGTGGTCACCTTTGCCACATGGCAACGCATATCGACGTCCTGTGTGGCGATTATCAGAATGTGGTCTGGCGAAATCACAGGGCCGCGCAGGTTGACCGGAAATACGAGAACTTTGCCGGTTCACAGAATTTCTACACGCTTTACCGCATCCACAATGTGCACTTTGAAGCCTATGGCGCGATGTTCCTGGGACAACCTGAAAGAGCCTTGGCGGCATCGGAAGAACTGATGCGCATGTTGCCTGACGAAGTCGTGCGATTTTTTCCGGATTTGTTCGAGTCCTTTTACGGCAAGAAAATTCACGTCATGGTTCGCTTCGGCCAGTGGCGCGAGATTTTGAACGAAATGTTCCCGGAAGACAGGGAACTCTACAGTTACACGACGGCAGCCATCCATCAGGCACGCGCGGTCGCTCTGGCAAATCTCGGTCGTCTGAAAGACGCGGCAGAAGAGCGGGAACTTGCAGTTGCCGCGCGCAAGGCGGTGCCTGAAAGCCGGATGGTTTTCAACAATACCGCCGACGATGTGCTGGCGATCGGCGAAGCGATGATGGACGGTGAACTCGCTTTCAAATCCGGGCAGAGAGATGAGGGCCTGAACCACCTGCGGCGTTCAGTCGAACTCGATGACGGTCTCCTCTATGACGAGCCCTGGGGCTGGATGCAGCCCACGCGCCACGCACTCGGCGCCTTGCTGCTGGAGGACAACCGTTTTGAGGAAGCAGAAGCGGTTTACCGCGCCGACCTCGGGCTGGACGATACGCTGGCCAGGGCCTGTCAGCATCCTCAAAACATCTGGAGCCTTCATGGCCTACACGAGTGCCTGGTCCGGCGTGGCGAGCTGACAGAGGCCCGGCATGTCAAACTGCTTCTGGACAAGGCCGCTGCACGCGCGACTGTTCCGATCCACGCCTCCTGCTACTGCCGCAGCAGGGCCAAGGCAGCTTGACATCCCCTGGACGTCTCATGGTCTGACGCGGGTCGTTCCGATTGTCTCAGGTAAAACGTTTTGCCCCGGCGACGCAAAGGACAACGAACACCGTCACTGCAATCATCAGTGGCGGCGTCGGCTCCGACAGCAACAGCGCGGACAGGATCAGGCCGAAGAATGGTTGCAGGAGTTGCAGTTGCCCGACCCCTGCCGTGCCCCCGAGAGCGAGACCCCGATACCAGAAAAAAAAGCCGATCAGCATGGAAAACATGGATACGTATCCGACGCTGATCCAGACAGTTACCGGCAATCCGGACAAGGTCTCCGGCCAGAAGACAAGTGCCAGTGCCGCCATCAGCGGCAGAGCCAGGACCAGGGCCCAGCAGATTACCTGCCACCCTCCAAGCCGGCGAGACAGCATTGCGCCTTCCGCATAGCCGAGTCCGCAAACGACAACGGCCGCGAGCATCAGGGCATCGCCGAGGAGCGAGACGTCTGCGTTCTGGTTCAGGGCGAAACCGGCAACCGCCAAGCTGCCAAGAACCGAAAACAGCCAGAACAGGGGCCTGGGCCGTTTGTCGCCGCGCAGGACCCCGAAGGCTCCCGTCGCCAGCGGCAACAATCCGATAAAGACAACCGAGTGAGCCGCCGTGATGTGCTGAAGCGCCGAGGCCGTCAAGAGTGGAAAGCCGATCACGACCCCGGCTGCGACAATGATCAGAGACGGAAGATCGGCGCGGTCCGGTTTTGACTGCCGCAGGACCAGAAGGATCGCACCACCAAGCAGAGCGGCGAGCACAGCGCGTACCGACGTCAGAAACATCGGATCGAGCGATCCGACGGCAACACGTGTCGCGGGCAGCGAACCACTGAAAATAAGTACGCCCACAAAGCCGCTGCCCCAGCCGGAAAACGAATTGGTCATTCTGTCCTCTGATTTTTTCACTTTCCTATTCCGTGGGGCGTGACAGCGACAGACACAAAACAATACAATATTGACAAATTGTATTGCATGCTATGCCCATACAGAGGAGTCCATGAAGATGAAAGCCGGACGGCGTGCACTGGTGATGGACGACATCGGACGCCGGATAACCTCCCGCGCGCTTGTTGCCGGCGACAAGGTGCCTTCCATTCGGAGCTGCGCTGCGAGACTTGGCATTTCACCTTCAACCGTTGTGGAGGCCTACGATCTTCTTGTCGCCGATGGTGTGATAGAGGCCCGTCGGGGTGCCGGCTTTTTTGTCGCCGACAAGCCTCAACCATTTGCCGTTGCCGAAACAGGTCCCCAGCTGGAGCGGGAAGTCGACCCGCTCTGGGTCGCCCGCCAATCCATCGACACCGGAGAGGAAAAACAGAAGCCGGGCTGCGGCTGGCTGCCTGCGGACTGGATGCCGGTTTCTTCCTTGCGCAAGGCAATGCGCTCGATGTCAAGCGCTCGTATCGACTTGTTGACCAACTATGGAAGCGCCAAGGGCGAAACCGGATTGCGCCGTTTCCTGTCCCGTCGATTGCACGACCAGGGTCTGGCGGCAGATCCGGATCAGGTCCTGTTGACGGGTTCCGGGTCTCAGGCACTGGACCTGGTCTGCCGGATGCTCCTGAAACCCGGCGACACGGTACTGGTGGACGATCCCTGCTACTTCAATTTTCAGGCTCTCCTTCGAGCACACCAGGTCGCCATAAAAAGTGTTCCTTACACCGCACTGGGGCCGGATCTGGCAAAATTCGAGGCAGCTCTGATGGAGCACCGCCCACGCCTTTATCTTACCAACTCGGCACTTCACAATCCGACCGGTGCGACGATGTCCGCACCAACCGCGCATCGGCTTCTGACCCTCGCCGAAATCCACGATCTGGTGATCGTCGAAGACGATATCTTCTCGGATTTCGAACCTGATGTTTCGCCGCGCCTGGCATCGCTCGACGGCCTGGAGCGGGTGCTGCGGGTCGGCAGCTTCTCCAAAACGCTGTCCGCCTCGTTCCGGTGTGGCTACATCACCGCGCGGCCTGACTGGATCGAGGCACTGACCGACCTGCAGGTGGCAACAAATTTCAGCGGTCCCAGTCCGATGGTCGCCAGCCTGCTTCATTCCGTCCTTACTGATGGCGGATACCGCAAACACCTGGATGCACTGAAAACAAGACTCGTTGCCTGTCGCGGTGATGCAATCAAACGACTGGGAGAACTCGGTTTTTCGCCCTGGATCGAGCCTCGCGGCGGTTTCCTGCTGTGGTGCGAACTGCCGGGTCAGCATGATGCCACGGAGCTTGCCCGCGCTGCCTTGCAGCAAGGCCTCGTTCTTGCTCCCGGCAACGTCTTCAGCGTCACGCAGACCATGGGATCCTTCATGCGGTTCAATGTCAGCCAGATGCGGGATCCGGGTTGCTATGAAACACTTGATCGCCTGCTGACCGGAACAACAAACACCTGAAAAACGGAAGTGCTCCGACCCGCTCCCGAACCGCGACTACAAACACTCCAGCTTTGTCCGGACAGCTTCGATCTCCTCGGGCGACAATGTACTTGAAGAAAATTCGCCCAGTTTGCCGTCGATTCCGCATTGAATTGTTCTGGACGCCAGGTCGATCATCCCGGGCCGGTCGGTAAATGCGATCAAACCCGATCCAAGCACAGTGTATAGACCGTCGGGCTTGGGTTCTGAATAAAAGCCTTCGACCTGAACAACACCCACCCGAGCATCGAAAACCCCGCTCTCCAAACGTTCTGCTTCAATGCCACCGGGAACCGGAGAGCCTGTAATGCGGGCAAAGTCGCCGGACGAGAGATGTCTGGGACTGATCCCGGAGATCTCGGTCCGCCCAATTCTGTCCGGCTGACCGGTTGCCGGCCGGAAATACGTTCCGCTGACCTCCGCCAGTCCCTGCCAATCCGGCAGCAGGTCTATCGAAGACGCAGAAACGCGTTCCGATTTCCACAATCCGCTGACGGCGACCCAATCGCCAATGGTCGCATTCAGTGGCAATGCTCCCAGATCGACCTGTGTTCCAAGGACGGTCAGCATCCCGTCACCTATTGCCTCCACCGGCCCGACCAGGGGCAGCACCTGCCGGATATGCTCGGCGCGCCAGATGTCGCCTTCAAGGCGAACGACAACTGCGACCGTGAGACCGGGTTTCAGTTCACCAGCGGCAATGCCGGGAACGGAACCTGTCACCTGCAAATCGTTCGTGATCTCGATCTTCTGCCCGTTGACATAGATGCTGCCAAGCTCGGTGATCACTCCAACAATGCCCGTGCCGACAATGCCCCCTTCGCGCTCTTCGCTGTCCTGGGCAAATGTCTGGCCGACGCTGAAAAGCACTGCTGCTGCTGCGATGAAACGGAGGAGCACTGTCACCCTTCCTTGTCTTTCGGGATTGTCGGCAGGATATAGGCACCGGCGACAAACCGGCCATTCTGATTGCTGTCCTGGTCCTTGTCTTGCAAATGGCGCGCCCTGGAGTTGATGTCCTGAAGCAGTTGCTGCGCCTTGTCTGCCGACAGGGCGCGCAACTCTTCAACAGATGCAGCAGACAAATGTGAATATCGTACGGCACGGTCGAAATGCCGTTGCGTTTCCTGACCCGCAATCAGGTTGTGCGTCGCGGCAGCCAGATGCGCTGACAGAGTTGCCCGATACGCGGCCACCTGCTCCGCGCTGCCGGCTGTCGGTACAAAGGCATCACCAAGCAAACGGAGGCTGCCGTCTTTCAGCTTGGCAACGAGCTTTTGATCCAGAAGCGTTTTCAAGACGGGTCCCGGGGCCATGTCGATGCGGGCCTGCCGGACAAGGTCATCAAACCCCGGATCACTGTCTGATCCTTTCCGGAGCAGATCCTTTGGCTGGTTGTCCTTGTTCAGGTATTGCGGTGCTGTCGACCAGTAACCAACAACAAGCGAAGCTGCACTGCAGCTACGCCGCTCGGGTGCATCATCGTCTTCACTGCGCAAGCGTTTGACATCCTTGCGGTGAAGTCCGGTCAAGGCGCTGACCTTGCTATCATTTGGAGAAGGGTCGGAAGTGTCTTCAGCCGCTGTTACCAGAGCCTTTTTCAAGGCCTCGGTTGCCGTGCCAATTGTCACGCCACGCGCGACCATCGCTTTTGCAAGCGGTATTAGCAGATCGGCAAGCGCGGTCTCAAACGGGTCCTTTGGTCCGGTCGACATATTAATCCATACAGTTGGTCACAACAGGTATTTAGCACTCTTTCCAGAAGTTCCTGCATTTCGGTGTTCAACATTTTCGTGACGGGGAGTTTAAATATCGTGACATAAAATGGGAATATTTCCCATTATTAATGATCACGCATCATTGATAAGGGAGGGTGCCATGCCGGAATTTTCACTTCACACGTTGAATGGGTCTCAAGCGATTGACCCCGTCGCTCCGCAATTTCTTGCTGACCCTCTTGTGTGCCTGACGCCGGCGGATCGGCGGAAATTCAGGGGATTCGGTTGGGGCGAAACTGTTCGCCCGCGCCATGCCACGATTGCCGCCGCCTTGCGCCACTGGATGCGCTCGCAACCAGATGCGATCGCCGTTGAATGCACCGGCCAGACGATGAGCTACCGGGAACTTGATGAGGCATCAAACCGGCTCGCCGGATTCTTGAAACGCAATGGCGTCAAACGCGGCGACGCTGTCTGCCTTTATCTGCAACGCTCACTGGAAATGGTGGTGGGCATTGTTGCGACGCTGAAACTGGGAGCTGCCTACGTGCCGCAGCACGTCGGCGTTGCGCCTGAAAAGGGCTTGCGTCATATCGCGAATGTTACCGGGGCAAAGGTCATTCTCACACTCAGCGACGTGGCAGACCAGGTTCCGGTCGAAGCACATCAGGTGCTGGTCGAAATTGACAGGCTGGTGAATGACGAAGCGCTTTCTTCAAGCGCGCCGGATCTCATTTCGCACCGGGCTGAACCGGACGACCTGACGATGATCCTGTTCACATCGGGCACGACCGGCGTACCCAACGGTGTTCAGGTAACACACCGAAACCTGGCCAATATCCTTCTGACCTCCCCCGGAGATCTGGGTATGCGGCCCGGTCTCAAGGTCGGACAGATCCTGTCCATCGCGTTCGACATGGCGGCCTGGGAAATCCTGGGCGCATTGTCCAACGGGGCGACCCTGGTAATTCGCGGCAAGTCCATTCAGGAGACGGCAGAAAAGGTCGACGTTCTGATCGCGACACCGTCAATCCTGTCCTCGCTCGATCATGACCGCTGCAAGGAGGTCAAGGTGGCGGCAGTCGCGGGCGAACCTTGCCCCCGGTCCCTTGCCGACACCTGGTCGACATTTTGCACATTCTACAATTCCTGCGGGCCGACAGAGACGACAATCATCAACACTGCAGAACCCCATTTTGTCGGAAAGAAAGTGCTGTCCATTGGTCGTCCGACGCCGAACAACACGGTCTACATTCTGGACGAGGACCTGCGCCCGATGCCGATTGGCGAGAAGGGAGAGATATGGGCAGGCGGTGATTGTGTCACAGCCGGTTATCTCGCCAATCCGAAGTTGACCGATGAACGTTACCGGCCGGACCCTTTCCGCCCCGGTCACATGATGTTTCGCACGCGCGACCTTGGCCGCTGGACCGAAGACGGCGAACTGGAACATTTCGGACGGGTCGATGACCTGGTCAAGATCCGCGGATTTCGGGTCGAACTCGACGGCGTTTCCAGTGCACTTGAGAGCACCGATTGCTGCAGTCGTGCCGTCACCCTGAAACTCGATGACCGCAACCTGGTGAGTTTCATTTCACCTGCAAACGCGTGTCCCGAGAAAGCCAGGCAGCAGGTCAACGATCGCCTGCCCTACTACTGTATGCCGACCGTTGTGCTCTCGCTGCCGGAACTGCCCCGGACGCCTCGCGGCAAGCTGGACAAGCGCCAGCTTCACAAGCTCGCCGAAGACCATATCGCAAGCGAATGTGTGGAGCTGAACTGATGACTACACAAACGACAAATCTCGACTACGCCGCACCGAACTGGCGACGCATGACCCGGCATCCCGCGATCATGGAATACAGACGGCTTTATGTTCTTGTCGCCGTCATCAATCTGGCAACCCTGGTCGCAGGCATCCGCAACGGGCATTGGTTTGACGGTCAGGCCTTCCGCCTGGACGCGATCGCCGACATGGCGCTGATCAACCTCTCGCTCGGCATTCTCATCCGCCAGCAACGGGTGATCAATGCGCTGTTCTGGCTGGCAACACGCATTCCGGTCACCTGGCCGCTTTGGATCAGGTGGGGTGCCGGAAAGGTGTTTCACTTCGGCGGGTTTCACTACGGTGGCACCGTCGCCGGAACGCTGTGGTTCGCGTTTCTGCTCTACGCCATGGTGGCAGACAGGTTGTCCGGATCCCTGCAGATCTCGAACGTGACACTTGGCCTGAGCGGTTTGATGGTAACCTTGATGAGCCTGATGATCGTCACCGCCATGAGCCGGTTCCGAACGCGGTTTCACAACGCCTTTGAAAAAATTCACCGGTTTGTCGGTTGGACGGTGCTCGCCCTCTTCTGGGCTCAGACGGTCTCCATCTCAGGCGATATGGGTGTCGCGCTGACAGGCACTCCTTCTTTCTGGATGCTGTGCATCATCACGCTTTCCATCGCTTCGCCCTGGCTGACCCTGAAACGGGTGCGCGTGGAAATCGTCAAGCCTTCAGATCATGTCGTGCTCGCTCGGTTCAACTACGGAGATACTCCGTTTGCCGGCAGCTCAAACGCGATCAGCCACACCCCTTTCGGTGAGTACCACTCGTTCGCAAATATTCCCGCGCCGAACGAACCCGGCTACCGGTTGGCCATTTCCCGCGCCGGAGACTGGACTGGAGCGTTTATCGAAAACCCGCCCGAGAAAGTCTGGGTCAAGGGCATAACAACGAGCGGTGTTGCCAGAATCGAGGACCTGTTCACGAAGGTGGTCTACGTCGGGACCGGCTCCGGAATAGGCCCGATCCTGCCGCATCTGCTGAAGCGCAAGGTCCCCAACAGGCTCATCTGGTCGACACGCTCGCCGCGCAAGACCTATGGCGACGATCTGATTGATGAAATCGAATCCCATACGGAAAAGCCGCTGATCTGGGACACTGATGCTCAAGGCAAGCCGGACCTGTCGGCGCTGGCCCTGCAGGCAGTGCGGGAAAGCGGCGCCGAGGCGGTCATCGTGATTTCAAACCAAAAGCTGACCCGAAAGGTGGTTTACGACATGGAATCGCTCGGTATTCCCGCCTATGGCGCAATCTGGGACAGCTGACATGTTTGAGACAATAGAAACCGGCATCAGGGATCGGGTCGCAACAATCCGCCTCAACCGGCCCAAACAGCTGAACGCACTCAATACGCAGGTCATGGAAGAAGTGCTGGAGGCGGCAGCCGCGTTCGAAGCCGACAAAAAGGTCGGTTGCCTCGTGCTCAGCGGAAACGAACGCGCCTTTGCTGCAGGTGCCGACATAGCAGAGCTGGCAGCCCAGGATTACGCCTCCATGCAGGCAAGCGACTTCTTCTCCGGCTGGGACAGGTTCGCGGCGTTGCGTCTGCCCAAGATAGCCGTCATCGACGGCTACGCCCTTGGAGGCGGTTGCGAACTAGCCCTGATGTGCGACGTCATCCTGGCATCCGAAAACGCCAGGTTCGGTCAGCCGGAAATCAAGATCGGCTGTATTCCGGGCATCGGTGGCACCCAGCGACTGACGAAGCTGGTCGGCAGGACTGTGGCGATGGACATGATCCTGACCGGAAGGATGATTGATGCCACCGAAGCCCTGCGCATCGGATTGGTCAGTCGCGTCATTCCACGCAAAAATCTGGAAACCGAGGTCAACGAGGTCGCAAAATCCATTGCAGAGTTCCCCAGAGATATCGTTCAGATGGCTCGCGCCTGCGTAAACATGGCCGAGAACAGCACACTGGACATGGGAATACGATACGAGCGGCAGACTTATCATGCGTTGTATGGCCTGCCGGCCCAGCGCGAAGGCATGTCTGCGTTTCTTGAGAAAAGAACTCCGCGCTTCAACGAAGGCTGAACAGCTGAAAACAAAGGTCCGGCACCAAGCTCACGCCTGGTTGCCGGACCTGAGTGCCCGGTCCGCCCCGGAAACCCGTAACCTGCCCTGCACGACCCGATCCGTCCGCAGTTTCTCGGCGGCGCCCCTTGCGAGCACGATCGCCGCCCACGCGTTGATCCGGGTCAAGGACAGGCATCATTTCGTCGGGCAAGTAAAGCAATGGAGCAATAGGTTCGCAAGACCATCGACCGATATGAGTTGGAAATGCGGGCATTTTAACTGGCCGGAAGTTAAATTTTACAAGCTTACGTGGATAACCCAGGGGAAACTCCAGACGACCTGGGAACCGGGGAACGAGGAAAGCGCGTCATGACCATTGCCAATGATGAAAAGTGGATCGATAAAGAGAAGACAGGTTTGTCGGAGGCAGCCATGGACATCAACCTCACACTTTCAACTGACACGATCCGCATGCTCGTCCAGAAGGCGCGCGCCGCTGCATCGGCCATGAAGGACACGTTCGAGGACGGTCACGACGGTGATGTGGAGTTTGATGCGGACACTCTGGAAGAAGGCCATAACCACGACGGGCTTGCCGAGGAGGAAAGCGACGATCTTTCCAATGAGGAATTGCGCGAGCTGATCGAGGACTTCAATGTCGACGAGGCTGCAGAACTGGTTGCCATCACCTGGATCGGTCGGGGTGATTTTGACGCTGAAGATTTCTACCAGGTCGTAAACGAAGCCAGGGAGCGTGCGGTCGGCTCCACCGCAAAATACCTTCTCGGCATGCCATTGCTGGCCGACTACCTGGAAGCTGGCCTGGACGCGCTGGATCTCTGACGAGACCGTGGACCCAAAGTTACGTAGCCTTGCAGCATCGACGCGTCTTCGAGAAACGCCGGGAAACCGGCAGCGCGCGCCTCGCTGCAGGTCGCAATGTGCCGGCAGCGCTTGATCCGGATGACCGATCGCCAGACATGATGCCGCTGCCGCGAATGGTTTGGACCTGGACAATTCAGGATGCGCCGGACACTCTCGAATGCAAGTCTGCCGGTCATTGTAAGCCAGTTAGTCAGGGAGAACAGTCTTGCGAGCACGGGTTTTTCAGCCATCCGGCTCGACTGTCATTCGCATCTCCTGTCAACGCTCTGCGGTCTCTCGTGGTTCACCTGTCAATTTGGTTTCAGATTGATCCTCAGAGAACACTTGTTCATCAATGCGGCTCCACGAGCGCTCCATACAATTCCGGGCGTCTGGTCGTGTTGAAATTGAATTCCTCCTTCCGGCCCGGTTCACATTCCGCCATATCGCAATCCGCCACAATCAACTCGTCATCGGAGCTTTTGGCGATTGCAAGTATTTCGCCATAAGGGTTGATAATGCTGCTTCCCGCAATCAATTCCACGCCATCCTCGATGCCCGCCTTTGCTGCGCCCACGACGAAACAACTGTTTTGATATGCGCCCGACTGCATGCACAGAAGATTGTGAAAATTTCGCAATTCGGGAGACTGGTTTTCGCGGGGATTTTGCACGGGAGACGAGTAGCCAAGCAGGATTAATTCGGCTCCCTTGAGGCGCAGCATTCGATATGTTTCCGGCCATCGGCGATCGTTGCATATGCAAATGCCAATCTTGCAGGAGTTGAACTCTGCCACCGGGAAACCGAGGTTCCCAACCTCGAAATAGTACTTCTCCAGGTTTTGAAAGGGATCATCTGAAACAGGCGCTGCGCTCCCGGGCAGATGCACCTTGCGATACTTCAGTGTGATGTCCCCGGATCGGTCAACCAGGATCATCGTATTGAACCGTCGGATACGGCCCTCTTCCTCTACAAGTTCGGCGTATCCAAGACTGAAACCAATACCCCTTTCACGGGCAGTATCGAACAGTCGCTGAGTGTTTTCGGATGGCATACTTTGTTCGTAAAAGTGGTCAAACTGCTCCAATTGGGCGACATGAAAGCGCACAAAAACAGGTATCAGTGCGAACTCCGGAAACACGACAAGATCGCAACCTCGGTCGGCGGCGTCGTTCAACAGCGCGACCATCCGGTCCAGGACCATTTTTCTACTCGCTTTATTGTCAATGCTCATGGCGTTCGTAACGCCGCCCAGCTGCGCTGCCGCTACTTTGATCCTTCTCGACATTGGTCATTCTCCTGCCGCACGGCCTCGCTGCATTCAGCTGAAGCTCTCTTTGAAAACGAACGCTAAGTCACTTGTTCGTCTGGGACATCAAAACGGTCAATTGACCTCTTCTGCCGCGGGATTTGCCGCAACAAGCCAATAAATCCGATGGAGCCATCGCCAGCTATTTGTGAAAAAAATTTACAACATTCTTAGAAAATACCGCAAAAGAGGTATTTTCTAAATATCAGGAGCATCAGATTCATCAAAAATGAAAAAAATTTTCAATAAAAAATAGAGAACACCGGACAAAGCGGAAGCACCGGCGTAAAAACGAACCGCGTGGCCGGAAGGGTTGGTTCCCTCGCCGCAACCAAAAGGGTCGTTGCCGTGACTATCCACTCGGGCTTGTCTGACCTGTCGGGCCGATAGAAGTATGGACTGAAGCAAACCGGATTGCGCCGGTTACGGTTTTTTGCTGTTCGCTTTACGAACAAAAAAGTACAGAATAAATTAAAAATTGCATGATACTTATATCTACAGAAAGTTTACAAACAAATTTCAAAATCGAAAAGTAATGACACACGGATTTCTTGAAGAAGATTCATAAGAGATCTTGTTTGCTACGACACGCCCAACAAAATCATTCGATTTCGCCCGGTGCGCAGAGGCCATGGAAACATTGGAAAGCATTTGCACGGCGGCTGTGATTGTACAGTCAACAAAGACTAGTTTCATTACTATTCCTTTTTACAGAAATGCAGAGCAATGAAAGGTGGCATGTTGTTGTGCGGCGCATTCCCGCCAACAACAGCGGAAGTTCGCGTCTTGGACTGGATGTATACTCCCAAACTGTTATTTGCATTGTCCGCCCCGAAATCGTGACGATCTAATAGCACCGATGTTGTTGAATCTTTGTGCTTATGAGCATGACTAGGAATTTCCAATAGGTTTAATAAGTGTTTTTCTTCACCACCCTGATCGTTCCAGAGAACATCACTCAACGCCACGACGTTGGCGACATCATCGGGTCTGTGGTGATTGCCGCGGTAAAAAAGTGTGCCACTTCCAACTCCGAGTATGAATTTACCTTGCCCTTTCGCAAAGTCGGCTTTCCACCCGACTGGGCATCCATTTTGGAGGTCAAATGCGACAACAGCACCACTCGGAATCCCTGAGTCCTTGCCGTCTTGCCCGGGGGCTCCTTGATCGCCCTTTATTGCTTCGGTGTGATTTTTCTTAAGTTCCAGAGCAACCGCTGCAATATCGGACGCGGACAATGCTCGTGGTGCTGAAATAGATAATTCAAGCTTGTCAATCGTTCGTTGCATCTCCGCTAGACACCCTAGCAATGCTGTAACTGTTGGATTCCGCGAGGTATTAAGGTGGTTTGCGCAATTGTCGGTGACGGTTGCACTGTCTTGACTCCATGCGACACCCGCCATCAGAGATAGCGGCAATGCAAACAAGATACGCCTCAATTTATTCTCCATTGTGCTCACCAAACCATTCATCAAGTGTCATCTCGCGCGCAGGCTTTGTTGAAGCTTCCTCAGACCAGCCAACAGCATTAGCAACTTTTTTCCCCAAGCCGGACGAGAAAGCGATTAAAAAGGTCAGGAGCAAAATCGCGGCCACAATTCCAGCCGCTCTCCAGAGACCCGTTTCACGAAGCTGCATAATGTCACTTGGTTTCAAGTCAAATACTCCCGTTTCAACTTATAATCAGAACAATCCCCCCTTGCGATTGTCGACCAAGCACAATTAGTCACCAAGCACATGCTAATTTATATCTTGGGAGCGAGATGTGCCCGCCTTGCAAATCCATGTAGTTCAATTCAAGTCTACTGTAGAAATGCTTTGATAGCCACGATAGTTGCAACAGATACTTCAGCACCAACGAACTATTTCAACCGCGTGAGAAAGTCTAAATTCAACTTTCATAAGCAAAAATGATCCTAGCCTGCTCAGGCAGCCCTGACACTTTCAGCAACATTCGTCTGCTTCCTCCGGTCCTGTGAATGCATCACAGCCATAACGAAGACCGGCCATTGAGATGCGGCCTCAGAGTGCTGAACGAGGAGTTTGGGGTCTGTTTCGACGACGGCTACAAAGCCTGAGCTGGGCACAAACCTTCAAGCAGACGATCTGATAGTGTGGTCGAATGAACGTGGCCAATCACTACAGTTTTCACAGAGCAACCCTGGATGACCTCGCTTTGCTTGAGGCGTGGCAATCAAACCCCCACGTCCTGAAGTGGTGGAGTTCCGACGAACCGTATGACGAAGGGGATTTGGCGGATCCGCGTGTGGCGCGCTGGATCGTCTCAACAAGCGAACGGCCTTTTGCGTTCATGCAGGACTACACCGTGCACGGATGGGACGATCACCATTTTGCCGACCTTCCCCAAGGCTCGCGGGGCATCGATCAATTTATTGGAGATCCGGAGATGATCGGAATAGGCCATGGATCAGGGTTTATCGGCATCAGGATGCAAACTCTCTTCGATGAGGGCGCACCTGTGATCGCGACGGATCCGCATCCGGACAACAAACGGGCAATAGCCGTCTACAAGAAGCTCGGATTCAAACCGTCCGCGCCACCGCAGGAAACGCGGTGGGGCGTGATCCTGCCAATGCTGGCGACCCCGTAAACACAAGGCGACCTGCAGCGGGTTTGTCCGGATCTTGGCCATTCATTCTGGTCGCAACGAACGTCATCTATCGGGATCAGGTCATGAAGCCGCGAACGACCTATATGAGAGCGCATAATCTTTCAGAGTGCCACTGCGATGGGTTGCTTGGAGTTCGATCCTCAAATGCAGAGAACGCAAATTAGTTGGCAACAATGTTGTTTAACGCACCCAATTTCTTCTGGAATTCGCCAAGCCGCGACTTCTCGAAGATGCTCATGATCAATCCCGATCGATACTTGAAAAATACAGGACAGGAAGGCAAATTCTCAAAAAGGGTTCCTGTAAAACTATCTCTATTTCAACAACCTGGGTATCGCGGCATGGCGCCAACTGAAAATGAATTGCCGGACAGGCGTGCACAAGCAATTCAGGGTGCGTTTGATGCTCTCAAGTCTCACGGGCTCGGGGAGCTGTCATTCGATCTCGTCGCCAGTAAGTCCGGAATGTCCCGACAACTGGTGCGCCACTATTTTCCCGATCATGAAGCGTTAATGATCGCGGTATGTGACCATCTCGCGCGACTTTACAGCGAGCCATTGATAGCTGCAGCAAGTGCGCTTGATGGTCCCGAGAGAATTTCGGTTTTCCTCGATTTCTATTTCGACTTGCTGGCGGATAACCCCAAGCCGCGTGACGATCAGGTCTATGATGCAATGATGGCTTTGGCAGCCAGGTCAGCTCCCATCCGAACCGCGCTTGCCGATCAGTATGGTCTTTTGGGTCAAGTACTTGGCCACGAGTTTGTGGTCCAATATCCAGAGCTAAGCCAGCAATCTGCATCTGAGCTGTCTTTTTTGTTCGTCAGCATAATGTACGGACATTGGAAAATGGTTGCTTCTCTTGGGTACTCCGAGGAGCACAACATGGTGACACGCCGCGCCATCGACCGCCTGATCAAGTCTTACATCGAGTCACCCTCCGCCCTCTCCCAACCGATTAAAATCTGGTCGAAGCAGCCGAAATTGTAGTTTTTCAATTTGAAAATAACGCAAATGTCATCGCGAAAACCGAAGCATTAAATATCTGAGAAAAATAAGCAATCCATGCAAAGCCGTGATGGATAAAATTATTTCGAAAGAATTTTGATTTTCATATTGGAAATCTTCTGAACGCGATATTGACATATACAACAAGCGCTCACTTCATAAACTTGTTAACCAAAAAATATGCTTCAGTTCTCTGCAGGATTGAAGCTTTTTACAAGTATGGTTTTGGGGGCACCTCATGCAAAGATTTCTGTTCAAGGCAGCTGCAAGCCTTGCAATGATTTCCTCGGCTGCAGCTGCACCCTTCCAATGGTCGTCTGGATCTGGTGGCAATGATCATTGGTACGAATTTGTTGTGCTCGAGGTTGTACTCAAGACCGAAATTCCGTCATTGACAGCGGCACGGGCAGAAGCGCTTGCCAATTCATCTTCCTTTATGGGCTTGGGCGGCTGTCTTGCGACAATGACTTCTGCTGCCGAACAGACATTTCCGAATTCGCACTGGTTGGTCGCGAACAGCGTTACGGGCCAGTTTGTGGACAACAGCTTCTTCTTGATTGGCCTGACGGACCGCAATGCTGAAGGTTCATTCGAATGGCTAGGAGGGCCTGAAAACGGATATCGATTTGCATACTTTGATCGGAGTGCGGGAGCGCGGCTCAACAGAAACCTGATCCGTAGAATACAGACTGGTTAGGTTTGGTCTGCGGTTGACTTTTGGGACCATTTTCACCGCAAAAGCGGAGCGAGATCGAAGGGGTGACAGGTGGCTAAATACTTGATCCGCGTCCGGCTTCAGTGGGAAAAAGTACCGGCGCAACTAACTCGATTCCCAAATGCATCACCCCACGGTCCAAAGGCATCTCTGCTTGTCGATTGGGACAACAAGATCTGGGTTGCGCGAGAAAACTGGCAGGAACTTCGCGATTTTCTGAAGGAACCCGTTGTAACCGGGTCAGTGAACACATCCCTGACTCGCGGCAAGACGGTTCCCTTGCTCGGCAGGCGCAACGATCCCGTTCTCATTCTCGATTACTTCGATCTTTCAGGGTCTGCTCCGGCTCTCGAAGGGAACGCCTTTTGGAGCAAACAACCGTCAAATCCCAATCTTTATGCGTTGCGGACCTATTGGTGGCGCGTGCGCGATGTCAGCATCATGTCGCCCTATGATCGTCTCGCGGAGATGATTGACATCGCGTGCAACGACCCGGCACTCCGGGACGATCTGGAAAAACATCTCGGTGCATTTGCCAATCCGGTGATCCTGCTGCCGATGGCGGGTATATTTCTGGTCTTCGTGGGCGCGGAATATCTCGGCGGTGCCGCTTTTGTTTACGCCGTCCAGGCAATTCTGGGAGTTGGCAACTTGGCTGCCGATGTTGCCGAATACGAATCCCACTTCCGTCAACTGAACAAGATCTTGCTCGAACCGAGGCGCGAGGAACGTGACCTGAAATACGGCGCCAAGCTGATCAAGGAAATTCTTGTCAGGCTGTTGCAAGATCTGGTGATGGCGCTCGGCATTCACGCGCTTGGATTGATCGTTCGCAAACTCTGCGCCGCGTTTATGGAGATCGCGCCCGAGGAATGGCGCACGAAGGCCAAAGACAAGCATGCAGAAGCCCAAAGCAAAGCGGCACGCAACAAGGCGACTCGGCACGGTTACGGCGGTGAGCATCACCTCAAGGACCCAAACAACGTTCAGATGACCCATGCCGAGGTCAAGGCGCACTCAGATGCCGCACGCGACAGCTTTCAGGTCATCGTCGTTCGCGAGGGGTCCGAAGCGCGCACTCAGATCGCCCGCTCTCAGGTCTGGCACGGCTCCAAGCATACATGGCTCAAGGCGAAATCAAGTGATGGCTTTCACGGTTTTGTCTGCCTGGAGAAGGGCGACTGGTCGCACGATCTCAAGCCTGCCGGTACGTACAACACCGGGGATCTGCTTGGTATCAGCAAGGAGATCGACAATTATGTTCAGCCGGGCGGACAGGGCCAGACCCGCAGGTTGCCGATGTACGAACTCCCGACCGACGGCCGCAAGATACCTGATATTGATTACGAGAATGCCGGAGCCGGCAAGGCGATGATGCAAGGACATTATCTTGTCGATCTCGGCACACACAACGGAAAACAGAAGTTCATGGTCGTCAACAAGACCCAGGGCCCAATCGCCGCCGACGTGGATATTGCCGCCCGCATAGATCCTCACGCAAAGGGACCCGGGCACTACGCTTCGATGGATACCGATCCGAAAGTCCGCAATCCCGAGGATTCAGCAGTCCTTGAATACGACATAAACCGGCGGGTCTGGGAGTACGCAGACGAGTATACGAACCGTCCCACTACCTCGGCAAACCATGGTGGTCGAACAGGCAGTGCTGGCCATGCGGCCATGCAGGATGCTCGCGGCAAGGGGCATTGGAAACCGTTCGAGAAAAATGGCGATTGGATCGATGAACGACTGGTCGTGTTTCTTCCGGTCAAGAGCAGGACAGGGCGGCCCTCGGCTCAGATGTTCGTCATCAACAACTGGGCTGATTTGCAGAGCTTCTGGAAAGCCAATCACTGGGAATGGCCACGAACCTGGAACAAATGACAGTCAATTCACCGGCTTCCTCCCTGTATCAAGTGATTACAAGCGCAGTACTCAAGTCCGTGTACACGTCCTCAACACCGCTTGCGTTCGCCGCGGGTCGACCATGCACTTGGCTTGGTCCACGATAACAATGCGGAGCGACCAGGGTTGAAAACGGCAGGTTCGTCCGCGTATCGGCTCATTGCTTGATCGTGTGAACGTCATCTATCGGGATCAGGTCATGAAGCCGTGAAGCTCCAATTTGGAGGAGCATTGCAGCAAACGACCGAACAGACCCTAGGCGTCGTCGCTGGACCGAAACTACTTATCTGCGCGATGGCTGCTTTGTTCGCTGCGCCGACAACAGTACAGAATGTTTCGATACTGAATGACGTTCCAACAGTGGAAGCTGGCGATGCAGCATTGATGACTGCGCAGTACAGACACACTGCAAGTTGCTCGCGCAGCGATCATGGAAGGCGCGTGCGGACAATTGCAAGCTCAAGGCCACAGATCCCTTCAAAAACGCGTTCGTTTCTGACTAGGATGCGACCAGACGTATGCTGCCGAGACAATGGAGAGGTCGTTGGAACCGTTTCGCGGAGTTTTCACCCAGCAGGAAGCCATACCGGACGATGCGATCGCAGCGGCCGTCGATGTGATGCGTACCGGACGCTTGCATCGCTACAACACAGTCGGTGACGAATTGGGGGCCGCTTCCGAACTGGAACGTGCCTTTGCGGACTATCAGGGCACCCGGTTCTGTCTGGCCTGCGCCTCGGGCGGCTACGCGATGTCGATCGCCCTGCGCGCCGCCGGGGTAGAGCCCGGCGACACGGTTCTGACCAACAGCTTTACTCTCGCCCCTGTACCGGGCGCGATTGCGAGTGTCGGAGCGCGTCCGGCGTTTGTTGAAATCACCGAAGACCTTGTCCTTGATCCTGATGACCTGAAGACAAAAATCAGCGAGACCGGTGCAAAGGTGCTGCTGCTGTCCAGCATGCGCGGACATTTGTGCGACATGGAAGCGCTTGTTGCGCTTCTTGCGGACAACGACGTGCTCCTTGTCGAGGACTGTGCGCATACGATGGGTGCCAGCTGGAATGGCCGGGCGAGCGGCAGTTTCGGCCTTGCCGGATGTTTTTCAACACAGACCTACAAGCACCTGAACTCGGGAGAAGGCGGATTGCTGACCTCCGACGATCCGCAGTTCATGGCGCGCGCAATCATGCTTTCCGGATCCTATATGCTATACAGGCGCCACGGTGCGGCCCCTCCCGAGACAACATTCGAGGATATCCGGCTGGAAACACCCAACATGTCCGGACGAATGGACAATCTTCGCGCCGCGATCCTGCTGCCGCAACTTCAGACATTGGACAAAAATGTCCAGCGCTGGAATGAAAGATACGACCTCATCGCCGATGGACTGTCGGAAGTCCCGGCGATCAAGCTGCCTCGCCGCCCCGATCCGGAGCACTATGTCGGCAGCTCTATACAGTTTCGCCTTCCCACGCTCGACCCGGAAAAGATGCTCCGATTTGTTGAACTCAACAAGGAGATGGGCGTTGAGCTGAAATGGTTCGGAGACAACACTCCGGTCGCCTTCACATCCAATCATCACAGCTGGAAATACACAGACCCGCAAGAGCTCCCAAAAACGGACCATATTCTTGCAAGTTTGTTCGACATGCGTATACCGCTGAGCTTCACCCTTGGCGATTGTGCGCATATCGCACGCATCATCGGACACAACGCCAGCCGGTGTACTTCGGAGGAAAATCTGAGATAAATCGAATAAATCGCATTGATTTCAATATGTTAATTGCGTCAAGCCGTAACGCTGTGAGTCGGTGAAAATTCCACACATCGGCGTTTTTCTTGGGAAAACATGGCGCGATGTCATTTGCGATCTTTTCGCCGGCTTCGAATTGCCGCACTCTCGCCTCAGTCATGGTGGGACTAGGGAGTTAAGGGCAATGCTGCAAGACCCGGCGAACCGCGATGTGTTTACCGCTCATCGCCCATCTCCGTGGCCGTTTGTCGGCGCTATGATCGGCGCCACCGCGCTCATTACGACGCTGATTGTCGCTTTCAGCAGCTAGGGCACAATTCTTCGTAACTTGATGAAACGGATCCGTTCGTTTAGCGGTCTGACCATGAAGTTCATTCTGATTCAGAAAGCCGATTGATGGCCGCGCAACGATTGGCGGTGCTGGACCTTGCCCGCGGCATTGCGGTCGTCACTATGGCGATCTACCATTTCTCCTGGGACCTCTCCTGGTTCGGTTTTGTCGACTGGCCCGTCGCACAGGGTTTTGTCTGGCGGTCTTTCGCCGCCTCTATTGCCGGCAGTTTCCTGTTTCTGGCGGGCGTCAGCCTGGACCTGGCTCATCACAAGGCTGTTCGCTGGCGATCCTTCTGGCGCCGTCTTGTGGTCGTCATCGTTGCAGCTGCCGCAATTTCCATGGTGACCTACTTTACCTTCGGGAACAGTTTTGTCCGCTTCGGAATTCTCCATTGCATTGCCGCAGCCAGCCTGATCGCCCTGCCCTTCCTTAGACAGCCTTTCTGGGTTTCGCTTGCCGGTGCCGTTTTCCTGATAACCCTGCCGGCTTGGGCGAGTTCATCCTTCTTCAACGGCGAACTCTGGCTATGGACAGGACTTGGTACGCCGGAATTCGGCAGCGTTGATTATGTTCCGGTGGCGCCCTGGGCAGGAGTGACGCTGGCTGGCCTGGCATTGTCGAAAATGTTCAGACGGATCCATATGTGGGACCGGTTGTCCCGGCTTTCGTTTAGTGGATCGGCTGGAAAGTCCACACGATTTCTGGGACGGCATTCGCTGCCGGTTTATCTGCTGCATCAGCCGATCCTCTACGGCCTTGTCTGGACTGCGGCAACGCTGGGTCCGCAGGTCGACCGTGCTGGTGATGCGTTTGTTCAAAACTGCACGAAGGCCTGTGTGAACAATGTGGGAGAGGCCGGTGTTTGCGAAGCCGCCTGCAGTTGCACTCTGTCCCACCTGGAAGCCGACGGGACCTGGACACTGCTGACAGTCGACCCTGAAGACCCGGCCTTGCGCGCACAAATGAACGAACAATACAAGCAGTGCCTTGCAGACCCTCAAAGACTGCCAGCTGTTATCGAATGATTTCCTGAGCCCTCTTGAGCGCCCGCTCGCGCCTCGTGCGTGCGAAGGAACGAAAGTCCGTCTTGTCGCTTCCTCTACAAAGCTGCTCGTGCGCCCAGAGCGATGACACTGCATCGCACTTGGTCTTCATGATTTCCAGCTGTCGCCCGCTAGGGACATGTGCCGGGACACGCTGCCGATAAGCGTTGAGAAACGCGGCTTCCTGGGGTCCTGAAAAACCATGTTCCAGGATGGCATAAGCAAGATCCCAGGCGGGTACGGCCATCGCGGAATATTCCCAATCGATCAACCAGAGATTTCCGGAGCTGGCAAGACAGTTTCCGGGCGAGAGGTCCCCATGGCTCGGAACCGGCATCAGCGCACAAGTTTCGTCTTCGAGCAATCGCAGATCCCGGATCAGTGTATCCAGCTGTCCGACATCCGGTTCATCCTGGCAATTGGACACCAGGGACAGCCTTTGCGCGTTGAAAACGGCATCGGCATCGAGCGTACCTGCAAAGACCTTACCTGATCCGTGCAGCCGTCCGACAGCGTCCCCCAATCTTGACGGCAGATCACCAGCCTCGGGGTTGACCGTCTCTACCGCACCGGTCACAAGAATACCGCTTGCCGGATCGCAAAACAGAGGTGCCAGCGCGATACCGAGACCGGACGCAATCTCAATGTTCCTGGCTTCGGCTTGACGAACCACCATCCCGGCCGTCTCGGCTCTGGGCAGGCGCAGAAAGAAGCTCCCCTTGTTCGTCTCCAGCCGGTAAACGCGGTTACTCAGTCCTGTTTGCGGGACTGCGCGCAAGACGAGACCGCAAATGTCGAACAGGACCGGGTGGACTTGAAAAGCCCTTCGGATATCTGGCGTATCGGATACAGAATGTGGCACAAGCGGAGTAATTCGGTTGTTCTTTCAAAAGGTCTGACGCCATGACCGACGTCCCCGCGCCTCATATCATCATCACCTATTGTCGCCAATGCAATTGGCTGTTGCGGTCCGCCTGGATGGCCCAGGAAATCCTCTCCACCTTTTCCGAGGAAACCGGTGCCGTGACACTGGTTCCGGCGACCGGCGGTACCTTCGTCATTTCATGCAACGGCGTGACAATCTGGGACAGAACCGACGATGGCGGATTTCCGGAGGCAAAGGTTTTAAAGCAACGCCTGCGCGACCTGCTGTGGCCCGACAAAGCACTGGGCCATACCGACAGGCCTTAGATGAAATTGCATCCCTTCATTGAAAATCCCAACGTAACCGAACCAGATTAGGGCTTAGGAAGTCTAGCGGCCTCGGCCTCCGGGAACTTCAAGTAAAACCGGGGCGATTATGTTAATTTCATCAAATGAACAAAAAAGTCGCGACAGAATAGGTGAACAAGTCAAAGAATATACCGCGCTTTTTCGTTCTTTTTAAATATTTCCCGCAAACATGCTCCAGCGATTCAGTTTTCGGAGCCAATTGATGAAGTTTCCGTCCCAAACGTCATGGACCAGATTATTTAAGAGACCGGCCGCGCCCGGACTTGCGGCAGACAACGCCGCAAAACAGCGTTTTTTCTTCGACTGGTCCATCAAGCGCCAGCTCCAGGTCGGGTTCGGTGTCATGCTGGTTTGTGCCATCGGCGTTGGTGCAAGTGGCCTGATCGCAGCGTCAAAAGTGCAGGATTCCGTTACAATAGCGAAAACGGCAAACGAATTGCTGGGAAGGGTTCCGGAATTGCTCACGGACACTCAGGCATTCAGCCGTACCGGAACACAGGAAACAGCCGGTGCCGTCCGCTCGGAAATTGCCGCTCTGGACAACGACAGTCGTCATCTGGCCGAGGCAGACCACAAAGCGGCCCCGATACTTGACGCCATTGTGTCCGACCTTGAGGTCAGTTTTCAGGCCTTGGCGAAAAACCGACAGGACCGTGACGCAGCTATTGCCAAACTTGGTTCTTTGACAGAAGGCCTGGCCGAAACCACAAACAATGCCATTGCAGAATACAACGCTTTGGCCACCTATCGCTCGACGATCGCCATCACAAATGAAGGCAAGATGACGAAACTGTCCCAGGTTGCTCCCCGCCTCGGCAACATGCGCGTCGTTGCCAGCGTTCTTGAACAGGAAGCCTCCACATTTGCGAGAAATCCGGACAAGGCCCTTGCAAAAAGCCTTTCGGATCGGATCAAGGCCCTCGGAAAAGATGCAAAGGCCGTTCGCCGTGCCGTCAAAACAGACGAGATCAAATCCAGCGTCAAGAAACTGATCAAGAGCTCAAAGTCATTTGAAAAACTCCTGAAAGCCCAGTTGAAGGAAGGCCCTGCTGACGAGGCGGCCTGGACGAACGGTTTGCACCCCGCGGTCAATGAACTGACTAGCCTGGCAGTCTCCATCGTTGAAGCCGCCGACCAGCCAATCAGGGAGCTGACACGCGACCTGCGCCAGTTCGAACGTGCGAGCAATGAATTGGCTTTGATGTCGAACTATACGCAAGGCGTTGCTGCAAACGTACTCGGACTAAGAAGCGCATATTTCGAATACCTGAACACCGCTTCGGAACCGGCCGCGACCTCGTTTGCCAATCATCTGGATAACGCAACCACCCTGTTGGCAAATCTGGAGGGTGTTCGCGCAAGTGCGTTGAAGCACAGCTCGGACGAGGCACAGGTCGATCTTCTGGAAGGCCCGCTGAAAACTCTGGTGACCGCAGGGCAAACGGCCCTGCCCCAGCTTCAGACCAGTTTCGGCAATGTCGTGTCGACTACTTTGATGCTGCAAACGAGCGAAATGGAATTTGCCGAAGCTGCAGCGGCAATGACGCATGAGGCTGAATCGATCAGCGCGTTGTCCGGTGAAACCGCAGTTGCCGGTGCAGGAGCCGCACGGACGCAGATTATCGTCACCCTGGCCATGGCGCTGATGCTCGGAATCACATTCGTCCTCCTTCTGTCCAATGCCATTGTCCGTCCCATCAGGGCATTGACGACCGCCATGCTGAAATTGAAGGACGGCGAAACGGATCAGACAATTCCGGCCACGCACCGCAAGGATGATGTCGGACAAATGGCGAAGGCTGTCGCGACATTCTGTGACCGCGAGAAGGAACGTGTTCGCCTGGAAGTGGAAACATCGGCCCGCCAGCAGGACGTTCATGACCGGCAGCAGAAAGTGGATGCCCTTGTTGCCGATTTCCGCCAGGATATTGAAGGTGCCCTTTCTGCCGTGACCGGCAACATGCACCAGCTCGACCGGACCGCTGAACTTTTGTCGGGTATTGCCCGCACGACAAGCGGCAAGAGCGAGGAAGTCAGCACCGCATCAAGCCAGGCCAGCGACAATGTGCAGACAATCGCCGCGGCGACAGAAGAGCTGAGTGCCTCGGTTCAGGAAGTCGGCCGGCAGGTCACCGATACGCTGGACCGGGTCGAAAGCGCAACCGAGGCAACACGCACGTCCAACGATCAGGTCAGGGGCCTGTCGGCGTCAGCAGAAAGGATTGGCAATGTTGTTCAGTTGATTCAGGACATTGCGGAGCAAACCAATCTGCTCGCGCTGAATGCGACTATCGAGGCGGCGCGCGCCGGGGAAGCCGGAAAAGGGTTTGCTGTCGTCGCCTCGGAAGTCAAATCGCTTGCAGGTCAGACCGCAAAGGCGACCGATGAGATTTCAAGCCAGGTTTCCGAAATCCAGACATCGACGGATGCGGCAGTCCAGGCAATCAGTTCGATCATGGGCATGATGGAAAACGTCAATGACACCGCCGCAGCCATGGCTGCATCGGTCGAACAGCAATCTGCCGCGACAGCAGAAATATCCTCCGGCGTTTCACAGGCAGCTGCCCAGACCAGCAGCGTTACGGAAAACATCGGCGATCTGTCACAAGGATCGGGTGAAACCAGTCAGTCTGCCCGTGAAGTTGAAGACATCACCGGTGCCGCCACCCGGCAGTTGACTGATGTAACCGACCGTATCGAGCGTTTCCTGCAGGAGGTTGCGGCGGCCTGAATGGCCGCCGCGATGCCTACCGGCTAGTGCGGTCTCTGGCCGGGTATCAGTCGAACCACCAGCGCTCAACAGCCCTGAACCCGTCGAGAGTCCAGTTTGCAGCGACCTGCTCGGGGTGCTTGATCTTGTTGGAATGCGCCATCACGTAGCTCGCGAACATCGGCACGACCACACCGCCTTCGGTGCGCACGATGTTTTGCATCTCGCCATACATCTCGCGGCGTTTTTCCTCGTCGAGCTCCGAACGTGCCGTAACCAGCAATTCGTTGAAGCGTTCGTTCTCCCAGAAGGTATCGTTCCAGGGTGCACCGGACGCATAGGCAACGGAGAACATCCAGTCTTCCGTTGGCCGACCGCCCCAATAAACTGCGCTGAACGGTTTCTTCATCCAGACGTCTGACCAGTAGCCATCATTGGGCTCGCGCACGGGTGTGATCTTGATCCCTGCCGCTTCCGCACTGTTGGAATATAGAACAGCAGCATCGACAGCACCGCCATAAGCTGCGTCCGCAGCAGACAGTTGCACTTCAACGGAATCCAGCCCGGCCTGTTTCAGATGGAATTTCGCCTTGTCGGGGTCATAGGTTGTCTGTTCCAGATCGCCCGCATGGAACCGGTTTGAACGCCCGATCGGATGATCGTTACCGATTTCACCGTAGCCGAACAGGATCTTGTCGACGAGTTCCTGACGATTGATGCCGTACTTGAGAGCCTGGCGGACATTGTTGTCATTGAACGGCGCTGCGCGCGTGTCCATCGCAAACGTATAGTGCTGTGTTCCGGAAGTTGACAGAATGGTGACATTCGGCGCGCGTTGGAACAGGGCGACGGTCTTCAGGTCAACCTGATCGATCACGTCGACGTTTCCGGTCAGGAGCGCTGACTGACGGGCGGCCGGGTCGAGGATCGTCAGCAGATGGACGCCGTCGAAATGGGCACGGCCCTCTTTCCAGTAGTTGGGATTGCGCACCAGTTCGGCGATCACGCCCGGCTCGTAGTTTGTCACCTTGTAGGGTCCGCAGCCGTCGCTGCTTGTCGGGTCGATCTTGCCGTCCTTGGCCGGCATGATGGGAAGGTGATAGTCGGTCATCACGAACGGGAAGTCCGCATTCGGCGCTTCCAGCGTGAAGACGACTGCATTTCCGTCGACTTTCATCTCCTGGATCGGATCGACGAAGGGCTTCGCGGCCGACGTACTCTTATCTCCGCGGTGATAGTCAATCGAGGCGATCACGTCCTCTGGCTTCACGGTGCCGCCGCTATGATACTCGACGCCGTCGCGGATCTTGAATGTCCAGACCTTCGCATCGGGAGAGTCCCAGCTCTCGGCAACTTCTCCCGCGAGAGATCCATCGGCGGCAACTTCGGCGAGATAGCCATGGCGCGCAGTCGCAAATACCTGGACATACTGATTGTCCCAGGTGCCAGGATCGTAATTCTCGCTCGTGCTTCCGGCAGCGATACCCACGCGCAGCGTCCCACCCTTCTTGGGTGTCGCAGCAGCTGGACCGGCAAGCGTGCCCGCAAACGTCATTGCACCCAGCGCGGCCGTTCCCTTCAAGACGCCGCGGCGGGATAACCCGGATTGAATGATCGGAATTCGATGACTGCTCATATGTCCTGTCCCCTTTTTTTGTTTCGTGGAATTCTTACACGTGTTGTTCCGTGAATAGAAAACCGCTCAAGCGGCCTCGCTGTCCAGTAATTTCTACCGGCAGGAAGGCATCTTTTTCGAATGTAAGTGTTTTTTGATTGATTGATCAATTAAAAAAAGTTAGGAATTTTGAATGGGATTTCATTCGGTGTTGGGGAGGTAGAATGACCGCTCGCAAGAATATTCTGATCCTGATGGTAGATCAGCTCAACGGCACCCTGTTTCCGGACGGCCCGGCGGACTTTCTGCATGCTCCCAACCTGAAGGGACTTGCTGCACGCTCGGTGCGGTTTCAGAACACTTATACGGCCTCTCCACTTTGCGCACCGGGACGGGCGAGTTTCATGTCCGGCCAACTGCCGCGCCGGACCGGCGTCTACGACAACGCAGCCGAATTTGCCTCCGACATTCCGACTTACGCCCATCATCTGCGCCGGGCAGGCTATACCACTTGCCTGTCCGGCAAGATGCACTTCGTCGGCCCGGACCAGATGCATGGCTTCGAGGAACGGTTGACGACCGACATTTACCCTGCCGATTTCGGCTGGACGCCGGATTATCGAAAACCGGGCGAGCGTATCGACTGGTGGTACCACAACATGGGTTCGGTGACCGGTGCCGGTGTCGCCGAAATCTCCAACCAGATGGAATATGACGACGATGTCGCCTTCCAGGCGATCCGCAAGATCCATGACTATGGCCGCGGCAAAATTGATCGTCCATTCTGCCTGACTGTCAGTTTCACACACCCTCACGATCCTTATGTCGCCCGCAAGAAATACTGGGACCTTTACCGGGACTGCGCGCATCTTCTGCCGGAAGTTCCGGCCAGGGCTTATGAAGTGCACGACCCGCATTCGAAACGCATCTTCGATGCCAATGACTGGCGCAGTTTCGACATAACCGAGGAGGACATACGCAGGTCCCGTCGCGCCTATTTTGCCAATATTTCCTATCTCGACGACAAGATCGGTGAAATACTCCACGCCCTGGAGGCAATGCATCTCGCCGAAGACACAACGATCCTGTTTGTCTCCGATCACGGGGACATGCTCGGTGAACGCGGTCTCTGGTTCAAGATGACCTTCTTCGAAGGGTCTTCGCGTGTACCGTTGATGGTCGCCGATGAGGATCTTGCGCCGGCCCACATCACGGCGCCGGTCAGTACGCTGGACGTATTGCCGACTGTCTGCGACCTCGCAGGCATCGACATGAGCGAGATCATGCCCTGGACCGACGGCGAAAGCCTAGTGCCGCTCGCAAAAAGTGGCGAACGCACCTCTCCGGTCCTGATGGAATATGCCGCTGAGGCCTCCTATGCACCGCTGGTCGGAATTCGAGAGGGCGACTGGAAATACATTCATTGCGAACTCGATCCGCCCCAGCTCTTCAATTTGGCGGACGATCCCTATGAGTTGACAAACCTGGCGGACGATCCGGCACACATCGATGCAAGCACCCGCTTCGCCGATGCCGTCAGGGTCCGCTGGGACATGTCCACCTACGATGCGGAAGTCCGTCAATCCCAGGCGAAGCGCTGGATCGTTTACGAAGCCCTGCGCAATGGCGCATATTTCCCCTGGGACTACCAGCCCCTGCAACAAGCGTCCGAACGCTACATGCGCAACCACATGGATCTGAACGAAGTGGAAGAAGGGCGGAGATTTCCAAGGGGAGAGTAACGCTCAATCAAACCTAAAATTGTATTTGACTACACCAATCGAAGAACTAGGCTGACTGTATCGAATCTCTGTTAGCAATAGTTTTATGTCAAACGCAGTTTTTTATCACAAACCAAACAGTATCTACGACGATGATCCTGCTAGGAAGTATCACTTCCCCAAATCTTATTTATCAAGAGTACAAAAAACACTAGACGATTGGATCGTCTACTATGGGCCCCTAAACAACAAGAAAGGGCGATTTTATACGGCAATCGCTCGCACAACATGTATCGAAAGCGACCCCAACCTATCTGAACATTATTATGTATTTTTGGAAGACTATATAGATTTTGACCGACCGCTGCGCTACACGGAAAATGGCGGTTACGAGAAGAAATTATTCAAAGAAAATGGATTGCCAAATGGAGGATACACCCAGCAATCCGTTAGATACTTGGAAATTGTAGAGTTTCAAGCACTCATCGAAGCAGGTTTTTCAGAAAACGACACATGGCCACCTCGTTACGATGGTCTCGAAGAAAATGACACAGCTCTCGGTTTTGAGGAAAATACACAAGCCTCAATTGCTGGAATGTTTGTCGAGCGCCCGATAGTTCAACAGATTGTCAACCGTCCTTTTAGAGAGGCAAAATTCCGACAACACATCAGACAGCTTTATGATCGAAGATGCGCATTTACCAGCTTGCGTCTTATCAATGGACAAGGCAGACCCGAGGTCGAAGCAGCGCATATTATTCCTGTTGAGCAAGGCGGCAACGATTCAGTCCAAAACGGACTTGCACTATCAGGAACTGTTCACTGGATGTTTGATCGTGGATTATTGAGTCTAACAGATGACTACGAAATACTCGCATCACGCCATTTAAACTATGACGTGTCTCACTTGCTGAACTCTGATATGAAGGCAATTGTTCCAAAGGAACACTCAAAGCGACCTCATCCAGAATATTTGGCGTGGCATCGCAATCAAAAATTCAAAGCTTAACTGCCTTGCACAAAGACTCCAACTGCTTTGCAATGCAGAGCACCAATAGTATTTCAAGATTTTATTACTTCTTCTAACCCTCCATTAACCCAGACTCGCAAAACACCGCCTATTTCCTCGCACAAGAACCTCGTTTTCACCGTCCCCATGCCATGACCGGGTTGGGGAACGGACCATTGCGAAACGGGGAAACGGGGCGTGACTGGAGACAAACAGGCAGGGACAATACCTGCAAACGGCATCGGCGAGACCGCGCAGAATGTCAGGCTGCGCCACTTTGCCTACGGCTCGATTTCATTGCTTCTGGCCGGCGGTGTCTTCGCCATGGCCTATCTCTTCATGAGCACGACGCAAAGTGCAGACGAACTCGCGCTGCGCCATGAACGCGCGCTGGTCACAGAGGCGCTGGAACATAGTCTGGAACTGGAAGCGCGGCACCAGACTTTCGTCGCCGTCAACGACAAGACGGCGCGGGAAGTCCAGATCGACGACAGGATCGACGAAACGTTTGCGCACGAAATCGCCCGCCAGATGTGGCTCGACTTTCACCACGACTGGACCCTGATCGTTGACGGCAGAAATGACCTGATACTGGTTGCCGCTGAAGATGAAATCGTACCGTCTGCCGCCGGTCAGGAAGTCCTGGATACAACCAGGGACCTCGTTGCCAAGGCCCGCATCGGTTATCAGACCGTCCGCCGTCCCTCCGCAGACGGCTTCAAGGTCAAATATGTCGAAAAGGGCAAGCTCGCCCCGATCTATGCGACCGATGTGCGCAACATTGACGGCAGGCCTGCTCTCGTCAGTGCCATGGCCATCGTTCCTGAAGCCGCCGACCTTTCGCTTCCCGATGGCCCTCCGGGCGTGATCGTGTCCGTATCCCTGATCGAAGAAGCATTTCTTTCAGAGATCGGCGAGACGCTGTTGCTTGAGAATTTCACCTATGCCGCCGGGACCGGTCACCATCAGGCCAGCGTCCCCGTTTCTGCCCATGGCCAACAACCGATCGGCTATTTCGAATGGACCAGCGCGGCGCCAGGCAGCAAGATCCGCCGCACGATCGGACCGATTGCCGCGGTTCTGATGCTGATGTTCATCGCCATTGGTGTCTTTTTCGCCCGCAGGCTGGCGCAAAAATCACGCGCACTGGAAGACAGCGAAGCCCTCAATCGCCGCATGGCCAGTCACGATCTGATGACCGGTCTCGCCAACCGTCCTCACTTTCACGCGGCCCTTGATCGGGCCATCGCCCAATGCCAGACAACACCATGTGCCGTGATGGCCATCGACCTTGACCGTTTCAAGTCCGTCAATGACACCTATGGACATGTGGCGGGCGACATGGTCATCCGTCAGGTGGCGCAGCGGCTGCGCAAGGTACTGTCGGGCCATGCTCTGATCGCCAGAACCGGCGGCGACGAATTCGTTGCGCTCTTGCGCGGCCCGGTCGACGACAATCGCCTGCGCTGGCTTTCCGACACACTGATAGAGGCCATTGCGCAACCCGTTCCCGTTTCCGGGGGCCTCGCGCAGATTGGCGTCAGCATCGGCTGGGCATCTGCCCCGAAACACGCCGACACCGCTTCCCACCTCCTCGCCCTTGCCGACCAGGCGCTCTATTCCGCCAAGGAAAACGGCCGCAACATGGCGGTTTGCATCGAGGATCTATACAAGCAACAGCAACAGTTGGATCAAGAGGACAGCCGCAGTATCAGACGACGCGCGGTCCGGGGGTGAACCGGGTCAATCAGAGCGAAGGTCAGTTGAACGAGATCTGGCCGCGCATTCTGGCAGACTTTTCCATCACGAAAATATCACCTCGCATGGTCCTGGTATCAATTTCGCATTCAACATCGAGGCCCGCCGCCGCGCACAGTACGGCGCCGGCGGCAATATCCCAGACATAGACGGATTTTTCGACATAACCAGCCATGCGGCGCGAGGCGCAGAAGGCAAGAGAAGCGGCACAGGATCCAAGACAGCAGACGTTGAGGTCCAGTCCTTCGGCTTGGTTTTCCCATGCTATCCGGTCGTCACGGTTCCATTTCGCGTTTCGTCCGACACCAAAGACGACAGCCGGAGCGAAGCTCCTTTCTAAATTGAGCGTCCGCCCTGCTTCAGCAATATGGACTTCCCCCAGGGCCGGCAGGGCGATTCCGCCCAGCCTGGGGGACCCGTCTTCCACATAGGCAATCGAAACCGCCCACAGGGGATTTCCGCTCAGAAAGTTGGCACTGCCGTCAATCGGGTCGACTGCCCAGAACCCCGCTTCCGCGACCCCGCCACTTTCCTCGCAGACCAGTGCATCATCGGGAAATGCGGTTTCAAGCTCCTGCCGGATCAGTTCTTCCACGTTCCTGTCCGCACGACTGACGTAGTCGCCGGGTTCTTTCATCTCGATCAGGTTCCCTTCCCTTTTCTGAAAGTAGGTCATTGCAAGATCGGATGCGGCTTCGAGAACCTGTTCAAGTACTTTCTGGCGGGAAACCCTTTTCATGATCAGCCAGCCCGCGCGCTTGCCAGTTTTTGCTCCAGGTCGCGGGCAATTGTTGCGGCACGACGATAAAAGGCCTGTGCACTGACGGCATATCTGTCCTTCGGCGTTTCGAAGTTAAGTGGTGGCTTGTACGGCGTTGCCGCGATCGCCTGTATGATGGCATCCCAATCGAGGCGGCCGTCACCCGGCAGCAGGTGATCGTCTCGAATGCCCCAATTGTCATGGAGATGCGTTGCCACAAGGCGGTTTCCGAAACGGTGCAGCACCGACAGCTTGCCCGGTTCCTGCAGTTCCCAATGGCCGCTGTCGTAACAAAGGCCAAGCACATCCGCGCCGTACCGTTCGAACAAGAGCCCGAGCGCCGCCAGCCAGTTGTCGCCGTCAGCCTTGCCGAACAGGTTCTCGATCGCGATCACCACACCCGTTTCTCGGCAAAGCGACGAGAGCTCGTCGAAACTGTCGAATACCGGTTTGAAGAACACGTCGGTTGCCGCGGAAGTTGCAAAGGCCTCATCCGTCACGTCGAGATGCAGGACAACATTCGGACTTGCCGTCGCAACAGCAAGATCGATGCGATTGCGGATCAGTTCCACGCCAGCCCTGCGTTGCCAGTCATTCGGCGAAGTATAGTCCATCCGCCTCTCCATGGTCTCCGCGCGCGCGCCCATTCCCTTGCCGGTAAACTCGGTCACAGGATTGATCCCGTTGGTCGCATGCACCGAATGCATCTGCAGACCGGCCTCTTTCAGCGTTCGGGCTATGAATGCGATTTCCGCATCCGTGTACCAGTAGGACGAGCCGGCATCCGGATTCCAGTTGAGATGGGTAAATCCGGCCTCCCGGATGAGGGCAAGGTCCTTCTTCAGTCCATCGTCAAACCATCGCGGTTCACTCGGCCAGTGCCAGACCGTGATACAGAGTTCAGACATTCGGGTGCTCCTTCATAGTCGGTTGCGTTCCGGGCCGCGCCCCATCGAAAGACGCTCGGCAAGAACGATAATCACCATGGACGCCGCCATGATCAGCGTCACATAGACAAGATTGACGGCCCGCTGTTCGGGGTCGGCGGATCGGGCGCCGTCAACGATTGCAAGCAAGAGGGGTCTGTTGTTCACGTTGAAGAGAAATGCGGAGACAGGATACTCGGTCATCAGGTCGTTGAACTTCAATCCTGCCAGAAGAACGACGGTCGGAAGGATAAGAGGCAGTGAAATCCTCCGGAACCTGTAAAGAGCGGAAGCGCCGAGAGACTGTGCCGCTTCACCGTAATGCGGATCAATGCCGACAAAAGCCGCCCTCAAAAACCGCACCATCAGCGGCATGATGATGACCGTGTAGGCAGCCGGAACGATCCACCAGTTGCCGAGCAGGATCGCTCCGCCCACCAGGGCGTTAGGTGTGTCGAACGCCAGGATCATACCGACCGCGAGCAGAACGCCCGGCAGGAACCACGGCAGAAAGAAGCTGAGATCAAGCGTACGCGCCGCCCAGTTATCGTATTTCAGCATGACCGGAACTGAAAACAGAGTGATGGCCAGGCCGAAAAAGACGGCGAGTCCCGACATCTGCACCGAGTTCAGCAGCGGTTGCAGGACGTCGGCATCGGTGAAGACCTTCAGGTAGTTCTGAAGGGAGAGGCTTGAGGGAATGATCTCGACACCGATGCTTGCCGCCGGAGCAAAGGAAAACAGCACCACCGTGAGAACGGGAAGAACATTTGCCGCAAGGAACAGGTAGGCGATTCCATGCGCAATCCCGTTCCAGACTGGATTGCGGATCGTCTTGAGCTGGATGGGGACCGGAACCTTTGCACCACCGGTAAACCGCCCGCGCTGCTCGACAATCTGCGACGCGATAATCAGGCTCATGACAATGACGCCGAACATCATCGCAAGAATAACTGCAAGGTCCTGTCGCCGCAGGCTGTTCAGTTTCAGGATCATCTGGGACAGCATGTGAAAGTCACGCCCGCCGAGGATTTCGGGTACGGCGAAACTTGCCATGGCCGTATCGGTCAACAGCAGTGTCACGGCGATCAGCGTCGGCATCACTGCCGGCAGGACAACCCGCAGCAATATCGTGTGCTCCTTCGCACCCAGGCTGCGCGCCGCCTCGACCGTGGAATAATCCACCCGCCTGAGGGCCGCCCTCAGGAACAGATAGTGCAATCCGGTCATCAGGAACGTGTGCGCATAAAGAACCGCCCAGAAGCCTTCGAACCAATCCGAGCCAAGATCCGGGAACAGCCATGTCAGCACCGCGGTGACAGATCCGGTCTGCCCGAACACGAACCGGTAGCCGGCCGCAGCCACGACCGATCCGAAGACAAGCGGCACCGCGAACCCGATCTTCAGAAGGGATCGTCCCCGGATGGCAAAATAGTCAAGAAACATGACCTGGAGCACACCGACGACCGTCACGGTGAAAACAGTGGCAAGCGTCATCCAGGCGGTGTTGGCGACAGCCTCCCGTACACGGCGCGCGGCGGAGAGCTCCTCGGCAAGGATGAAAAGACCCTTTGAGTCAGCACCTGGAAAAGCAACACTCAACCCGGCGATGAGCGGAAAAATCAGAAAGGTCAGCAGGAACCAGACGACCCCGCATAGCCCCAACAGCAAGCCTGCGCGTTCCAACCGGCGCGCGGCGCTCATGAGACAGGTTTCCTGTAGATATGGGCGGCGTTCTCACGTGCAGCCAGATACAATGCCTTGCCGGGCTCAAGGTCGTCATCGACGAGGTGTCCGGCAATGATCACATCCAGCCGCTCCTCACCCAGGCAGCAGGTCAGGGTCGCCTCACGGCCGGTGAAGTCCAATGTTTCCAGTCTGGCCTCGACGGCGTCAGGGTGAGCGCGATCGACAAGCTTCAGATCCTCGCATCGCACATGGGCGCTTTCACCTGTTTGCAGGTGCAATTTCGGGAAAAGCCGTGCCGCGCTGGCTGGCAACAAGGCGTTCGCGGCACCGATGAAGTGGCAGACAAAAGCGGTTTGCGGCGAGCGATAAATCTCCCGGGCGGTGCCGGCCTGTTCAACCCGCCCCCCGTTCAAAACGACAATCCGGTCGGACATGGAAAGTGCCTCGTCCTGATCGTGGGTCACGAAGAGCGCAGTGAAACCCAGCTCTGCCTGCAACCGCCTGATTTCGCGGCGCATGGTCTGCCTGACCTTGGCATCCAGGTTTGACAAAGGCTCATCAAACAAAAGTACCTTGGTTCCCATGATCAGCGAGCGGGCAATCGCGACCCGTTGCTGCTGACCGCCGGACAACTCCGCCGGGCGTTTGGGCAACTGGTCCAGAATGCCGGCAACCTCGGCGATTGCATCGACCTTCACGCGTATGTCCCGGCTGCCGGTTCCCGCGACCCTCAATCCGAAGGCAATGTTCTCGAAAACGGACATGGTCGGAAACAGGGCGTAGTTCTGAAAGACGATGCCGACGTCTCGATCCTCGGGCGGCTGACGGGTCACATCCTCGCCGTTCAGGCTTATTTGCCCGCTCTTGACCGGCACAAATCCGGCGATAGCGCGCAGCAGCGTCGACTTTCCACACCCGGAAGGTCCGAGAATGGAAACGAACTCGCCCTGACGCAGCGCAAGTGTCACGTCATGGACAACGGTCAGCTCGCCGTAACCGATGGTAACCTGTTCAAGACCGAGTAGCGGTGGTGTCATCGAACTTGTCTCGCTGTCCGGCAGCGCCTTTGCGCTGCCGGGTTTTCGGCACATGTCATTTGATTTCAAGTTCGATACGCTGGATCCAGCCATCGATCTGGCCGGCAACCAGATCCCAGTCGACCGGTTGAGCCGTCACAAGCTTCGCCTTCTCCTGAACCTCCGTCGGTGCAAGCGCGATCGCTTCCGGGTGAGCCGGAGCCTGGTTGAACCGGGTCGCATAGGCACCCATGAATTCCGGCGAGCCGAACCAGTCGACGAAAGATTTTGCCTGATCCAGCTGGTCAGTACCCTCCATGATCGCAATGCCTTCAGCGATGAAGGGCGTTCCGCCTTCCGTGTCGATCAGTTCAACGGTGTAACCGACATTTTCCGCCTGCCGGTAGGCACCTCCGAACCAGTTCAGGTCGATCAGCGCATCGCCGGAGGCATAGGCCTGGGTCTTGCTGTCTCCATCGTTCGCCAGGATCGCGTTGGCATAGAAAGTCTCCATGAACTTCCAGCCTTCGTCCGAAACCTTGCCGTTTTCATCCATGAAGCGGGCAAGAATACCGGCAAGAAAGGTCCGGGTGGTTTGCCATGACGTCGATCCCACGACGTATTTGCCCTTGTAGGCAGGGTCGGTCAGATCGAGCCAACTCTTTGGCGCCTCGCCGGCAGACAACTTGTCCGTATTGATCGCGATCACGATCGGCGTCTGCCAGAACTTGTGAACGATGCCATCCGGATCGACATATTCGTCCGGCAGCCCGTCGGCCCAGGTCGGCGTGTAGGACTGGAACAGCCCTTCCGATTTCAGCGTCGACATGGCCATGTCGACAAGGCCAAAAACCACGTCAGCCTGCGGATTGTTCTTTTCCGCAAGCAGGCGGTCAAACAATTCACCGCCACCCGCGTTCAGGATTTCTATGTCGTGTCCGGCGGCAGCTGCCTGCTCGGCGATCCACTCCGCGCGTTCTCCTCCCTGCGGCGAATAAACGACCAGCGGGTCAGCCTCTACCGCCCCACCTAGTGCCAGCAGTCCTGCCAGGCTTGTAAGAACTGTCTTTTTCATGAGCCACTACCTCCTTGCTGATTGAGACCCTCCGGCCTGAAAGCCCGGATTTCGTCGCACAACATCATGACAATTAAATTACGTTGTGTAATTTAATTTAAAACCTATTATCCCGAAACGTCGGGAGAATCAAGATGACGGCGCACCTCAGCCAAACGGAGCGAAAGCTGATCGCTCTGATTTTTCGCAACAAGACAATGGCTCGAACCGATCTTGCGGAGGCGACCGGGCTGACGGGTGCGTCCGTGACGCGCCTCATTAACCGATTGCAGGAAGACGGTTTTTTCCACGAAACGCGCACAAGGACGGGCGCCCAGGGTCAACCGAAACGCAATCTGGCGCTGAACCCGGATCGTTTTTTTTCGATCGGCATCGTTTTTTCTCTGAGAACAATGGAATTGGCTCTGCTGAATTTCCGCGGCGCCATCTGCGCCACCCGGCACCGCGTCCTGTCAGGCGCCCGTCCGGAGGACGTTGCCAGGGCGGCCGCAAGCGGTGTTGCGGATCTTTCACGCAACCTCCCTCCGGACTCGCTGCTTGGTGTCGGGGTCTCCCTGCCGGGCAATTTCGGCACCTATCGCGACCTGCTGGTAGCGCATGAACTGTTCGATCAGCTCGGTGACGACCGGGTGATCACGGCCCTCAGGTCCGCATTCGACATTCCGGTTCACATCGAAAACGACGGCACGTCTGCTGCGATCGCCGAATTCATGCTCGGGGAAGGTGTCCGCGACGAGGATCCCCTGTTTTTCCTCCATATCGGCCACGGTGTCGGCGGCGGAGCCATTCTCGACGGCAAACCCTACCGGGGCGCTCATGGCAATGCCTGCCTGCCGGGCTTCCTGTTTCCCTATGAAGAACTCCGCCCGTCCGGGCAGGATCTCCTGAAACACATGAACAACGCCGGTCACAAGATCGAGGACCTTGACGGTCTGACGCAGCCGGCACCCGGTCTTGCAGCGGACCTCGATGCCTGGATTGACCGCGCGAGCCAACAGATCGCACTGGCACAAAGAGCAATCACCGGGTTCTTCGATCCGGCGGAAATTGTTCTCGGTGGCCGACTGCCCGGCTGGATCAACAAGGAACTTGTCGAACGTGCCGCGACGGCGCGGTTGCCGGGACCCTCACGAGGATTGCCGAATGCACCGCTCAAGACTTCAGCCTTCGGCCCCGAAGGCGGCGCCATCGGTGCGGCCTGCCTGCCCCTGTTCGAAACGTTTCTCTGATCCGGGCTTCCTGTTGCCTGATTGCATCAGAGACATTTGAGGCGGGAGGCTGACTGGCTGTCCTGAAGAGTTGATGGAAGTGGTCCCTGCCCGTTTTCTACCTTGGCGGCACCCGGCGCGGGACCGACGCAGTCTTCACCTCTGGCTGGCTGAACGGGACCAGCGGTCTGCATGACGGCTGGCGCAAAGCGGGAGATATCTTGCAGTCCTGGAAACTCAAGCGCAGAGAATAACGGCCCCCGGAGCCATTCGGCTGGTAGAAAACACAGGCTCAACTGCGGCGATTCGCCGATTTCTTTCACTTCAAAGAAGACTTCAAGCCGACATTTCGAACAGGACGCAACATCAACCGAGAGTGTCCACATCTAATCTTGAACACGCGTCATTGTCCTTGCACGAGCAGTCTTGAATCTCTCAACTCAAATAAGAACTATGCGGCAGAGACTTATCCGGTGCGTCAGTTCCATCCAGCTGTACCGCACCGGGTGCCCCCCGCTCGCTGGAACAACCCGGGCCTGCAATTGGTTAACAAACAATTGACACGCCGAAGCCCCGGCCCGGATAGTTGGTGAAAGTGCGTGCCCGCGACCGGGCGGCATGGGTGTTTCAGCGTATTTACGGAGTGGTCTCATGACGGCCAGCAGGAGTCCGCGCGTTCGCGGACACCGGGTTTTTTTGCGCCTTTTTCTGAGCGTTTTCGCCGGGTTGTTCTTGGTGAGCTGCGGGCCTGCAGGTACGAATTATTTGGCGGAAGGGATCGGCGCCAATCTGGCCACATCGGAAACCGACATTGCCACAACAAGCAACCTGCAAAACAAGTATTTTGCCTATCTCTGCCAGCAGGCGGGTCTTCCCGCAAACGTCTCCTCATATGCCTCCAGCACGTGCCACCTACATCCGATCGATGATCCGAAATGGTTGATCGTCGTTGCTCAGGGTATGAACGATATCGATCGACGCTGCGACGCCTATCTGCAGTGGCTGGATAATCAGAAACGCTCCAAAGGGCCGATTCAAAGTCAAATCGGTTCGATTCGTGCCGCCACGACTGGAATTATGGGTGTCGCAGACGCATCTGCGACCGCTTTGACCGTTGCAGGCCTCGCTTTCGACCTAATTTCCAAGAGCGTGGAAAACTACCACAGTCGGCTTTTGCTAGAAGTTGAATCTTCCACAGTCAACTCCATCGTTCTGAACCTACGCAGGAAATTCAGGGCGGACTTTCGGAAAAACCAGATAAGGGTGACGAACAGGCCACAGGCCGAATTCGTCTTGAGATCCTATCTGCGCCTGTGCCTTCCGTTCGCCATCGAAGCCAACATAAACAACTACTCGACCCTAGGCTCGAGCGGAATCGCACCGACGCCTGAAAATTCCATCAACTGGTCGCCCCAAAGCGGTCTCACAATCGGATCGGCAGGAGGTGGACAGGAACGGACCTTCAGTGCACGCACGCCGGTAACTATTGATCCAACGATCCCCAAAGATAGTCAGATAGGTGGTGCTGCAACACCTTGGGAAAAGCAGCTTCAGAAAGAGGAGCTGACAAAAATCCAGCAGTTTCTCTGTATTTCCTCACCAGCTAATAACTTCGGTGACAAGACCCGCGCCGGCATCCTCCTCTGGTCGCAAAATTCCTTCCGTGGAGGTGACATAAGCTCTGAATTGAACATCAAAAGAGGACCCGCTATTCTTGGCGCCGCAAAAGACAACACGTGCAACACTGCCAACTACAAGAATTATTATGA